AGTGGGATCGATAAATTCATGATGACTGGAGATTAGTGATGGGAGAGTGATGATGATGATGATTATTATTGATGATCAATCAATGAGCTAAGCTAGGTTATCAAAGTGAGGCATGCTGCAGGCAATCAGAGCACTAGAGGCCATTTGGAAGTGTGAAGTCATATTTTAAAATATAGTGGGATGAATGATCGATCGATCGATGTTTTGGTGGTTTATACGACGACAACAACAACAACAGTCATAGTCGAGGGAAAAAAAACAGAGAGAGATACACACACTACAGAAACAGGACATTATTATAGTTGTCACTTGTTCTTGTTCCTTCCTTCCATCTTTGCTTTGCTCTTTATAGCGTGCCGTGGTGGACTTTGCAAACCTCTCTTTGTTGCTTTTCTTCCTCTCTCCTGTCTCCCTCTGTCTCTCCGTACTCTCTGTTCTTTCCTTTTCTTCTTCTTGTAGTAAGTAAATGTATGGCTGGACTTGGTTTGGTCCCTCCACTAGAAAATAGTACAGAGACCACACGAGTGCTTGTTTTATTAGAATGAAAGTTCTTTCTTTTGTACCCTCTCATTCACAACTTGTTCTACTTAAACCTCCGATCTGAAATGAAAATTAAGAGGGTATGGACTTCTCATAGTTAGCAAAGATGAATGGATACGATGCTCGTCCATCAGGATGAACCCACGACACAAACTCTGGAGCAGGTCATCTTATATATGTTTGAGTTTCTGTTCCGAGTTTTGCCTGCAACCTTATTCTGTATCGGATTCGATTATGGTTAGAAAGTTTGAAGAAGTGTTATATATACTTCTCAATTTCTCCGTAACGCGTGTCTCCTCAATCATAGTAAAAAGTGGTTGTTTCCTGCTCGTAGACTAGCTAACACATATTGTGTTTTTAAACCACATATAAATTTGTATGTTATTTATTTTCTTGAATTTTCGATTTGTACGATCTCGTACTATCATATATATTACTCACTGTCTCACTGGATGAGTTGAATAACCTTGAAGTGAAAGCAATACTACTACAGTACTACTGGCTAGCCGGTTGGTATTTTTGGTGAGAAAACAGGGGATGATGGGAGCCCCAGCACGCTGCCCAACTGCCCAAGCATGCACGAACCTATAATACTACAATACAATGTGATCCATCATTGGGATTTCATTGGTGGGGGAGGGAGACGACACTATAAAAAAAACATCAATTTGTGCTCTGTTCTTCTATCCTATGGCATGTCTGTTCATATAATATTCTTCTTCTTCTTCACCATCTAGTTAGCTTTTTTTTCCTTCTTCTCTTTGTTAGTTTCTTTTTCTCGATGGAATTAAACTTGAAATCTATATATAATGCAATGCACCCACCAATGAGGATTGCTCCATTTTGTCTTTGCCTCACTTAATTAATAGTTGTTTCCTCTCTAAGACCATCCACAATGTGGGAGGGAGGAAAAAATGGGAAAATCGGGGAAAAAGAAAAAATGGGACAGTTTGGTCTCAATGTGGGGTGGGAAAAAGAGGTAATTGGTTGAACACTTTTTTTGGTAAAATCAATCTATATTTGATTTTATCACTTTATTTTTATATAATATCATTATTTTTACATAGTTAGTGATAATTAATTAATACGAATATTTTGATATAATTTTTTATAATTTGGACATAAATTTTTTTATCGCTAATTAACGTCATTAATGAGGAAATTACAATAATTTACATAAGAAAGTTGTTACATTAATAATTAGACATAAGCATAATTAAGAAGAAATAAAAAAACAAACAAACCAACAAACACTAAACCAGAAAACAAACACTAAACCGTAAAAATAATAACAAAAACAAAAAACAACCTGACGCAGGCTCCACTCCCCACCCATTTCTCCCTTTTTTGTCTTGGGTTATAGGTAAAATATGCCTCTCTACTATGGTGATTTACTGATTTATCAAACATGTCCCTCAACTATTTTTTACATCAAACATGCCTTTATACTTTGAAAAAATTATCAAACATGCCCTTCTGTTAAAATTTTCATCCAAAATCCGTTAACAAAGGCCGATTTTCGCCTTACCAACCCCAGGGAAACTGTCTTGATGTGTAATCCTTTGAGAAGGTCCGAACTTTGGTTTGGGTGACACAAATGTCTAAAATATTCCTAATAATTTCACTTTAGAATTTTTTTTGGTTCTTTTGTATAGCCAAATAATTCAAATAATTTCACTTTGAAGAGACCCAGAGAAATAAAACGGGAGACAAAACTGACATTTTCACTCCCATTTGTCAGATGACGGGTCGTCTAAATCTCAGTTCAACCATGATTGACGATTTTTTCAATGGAATGTTTAACAGAAGGGCATGTTTGATAATTTTTTCAAAGTACAGGGGCATGTTTGATGTAAAAAAATAGTAGAGGGGCATGTTTGATAAAACGTCATAATAGAGAGGCATATTATACTTATAACTCTTTTGTCTTCTATAAGTGGATATTTTCCCCATTTCTCCATCTTCTCCCCTTTTCCCACCCACATTGTATGATTTTTTCCCATTTTTTCCCCTAAACTCACCCACATTGTGGATGGTCTAATAATTGAAAGCTTACAAGCCTCTAAACACAATAGTAAGAGGAAAAGCAAACCCATCAATCTGAACTATATTTGGTTAGACTCCCTTTTGGCTCCTTCTATTGCAAGCTCTTCGTTTAGGAGATGATGTAATGGAATGGTATACTTTATGTTTGGGCTCTTTTCAATGATTTGAATTATTGAAATCAATTAGTATAGCATCCGATTGAGAAGTTTTCTTATTTGAATTCTCGTGAGCTCCAATATTAACAGTTAATATAAGCTCATGATATGACGATGACGAGTGTGTGCAAATTTCAAATTTATGTGTTGGTTTCGTTGATGGGTGTGCAATAAAATGATAAAAGATTCATATTTTAAGTGCTCTTAACAGTTTGAATTATGCAGACTTCAAACCTACATGTGTTCGCTTTCGTTTGATGAAGTATGTAAGGAAATGGTTTACGTGAATCTCTCTTGACTACTAATTAGGGCCATACTATGTTTCATTCATATAGAAGTTGATTCGAACACTTTATTTGAAACTTTTAAATTGCCTCGAGATTACCATCCCTCATGCTCGGACTGCGAAACTTAATTTAACGAAATTCCTTGTTTCTAATCCACCATCGTGGTCTTGAATATATACAATATAGTTTTGCATGATATCTAAAAGCTTCTCCCTCAACCCCAAATTAAAGTCGAAAGAGGATTTAGTTGTCAAATCACTCCCTAAAGCATATTTTCTAAAATACTTGGATTATTATTATGGATCTCATCTCATATTGTATAGCTTTCGCTTGTACGCGAATTTTGTAGAAATGGAATCTAATTGGGACCTTTGCTGTAGAAAAAGAACTAATCGGGACCAGCCTTTCTTCTGCATAAAAAACCCCAAAAGAGTGTCGTAGATCGGAATTGCCGAATTGGGTTGGGTTTGTAATGATTGGATTCCAAATCGTTTACATCATATCTTGCTGTCTAACGTTTTCTAATTTATGGGGACCCATAATCATCCACCACTAGCTACATACCAAGACCATACTTTGCACAGCAAAGCATGAGTATGGTTTTGATGAAGAACAATGATATTGATGATGATAATAATATTACAAAGAGGTGTAGTTGAGACTTGAGAGTTGTGGTCTTTACATATATGATCAGAGAATATTACAAATATTGAGTTATCGGTTCTTATTCAAGAATAATTTCTTTATTCAGATTTCAACGACTATTTGATTAAGTTTCGTGAAGGCTTTAATATCGATATTCGTCTTCGGCGGCTAGTACTATAGTGCATTATAGCACCCGATATAGCACTCGTGGGCCTTGATGCCGAGTGTGCTTAGTAATTAGAGATTATTATTAGTTAATTGTTGGTTCATTATTGTTATTTGTATTAGTTTATTATGCCTTGTTGAGTAAGTTATTAGTTACCTTGTTGGAGTGGGATAGGGTTAGCTATTAGGTTTTCCTACGTTTTCCTATAAATATGTATGTTGTTCTTTGGTTTTGATACGTCAATGAATAATAAACCAGTTTAGTAGTATTCGTAGTAATTTAGGAGTAGAAGTAAAGTAGATTATCGTTCTCTCGACGCATTAGAAGCTATAATGCGTCATACTACTATGGCATACCGATTTATGTATGTGCCTGCTCAATGTATTAAGGTGACGACTTACACTCATTTGAGCTAGGATATAGTCTACGACGTAATAATCTTCAATAACAGGTGATTTAACTGGGTCGTTTGGATAATATGGTATTTTGGTAACATATCTCATTGCATCAAACGGGCTTTACCATTAGACGTTAGAAAATACAATCTAAGAAGTTAGCTATTACCGTACTGGCATGAAAGCATTTTCCCTTACTCCCTTCGCCCTTCGCCCTTGTCCCTCTCATTTTCTATATGCGAACATATTCCCCTCCTCTCCTTTCAGTCGAGCAACTTCGCACCTTCTCGCTACGGTCGAACCTATTCTAAACCTTCGGGCTCACATATGATAAACCTTCAAATGCTTATGCCTTTTCTGATAATTCTTTCTCTGGGAAGTTCGGTCTAAGGAAGGGGATATAACACTTGCTACATCATCTGGCCGTAGGGTACATTATTGCTTAATTACACGACGCTCAACGCATGATTCGAGTATTGTGTATTTTGTATCTTGTAAACATGTTCTCAAAGTTGGATTGTCCATGCTATAACCGAGCCCTCCAACGGATCCCTTTTTTTTCTCTCGAGATATCACAAATGCAACATTTCTTTTAGTTCATCCATATTTGGTTTGGTCAGATTTTATTGTTGTCATGAACAGAGATCGAACTGTCTAAAATTTGTGGTTGGGCTCATCAAGCAGGCCAGAGAAGAGAAAAATTGGCTCATCAAGATTAACAAATCAGAGGGCTCGGTTATTACAGAAATCATGTTCAAAGATATTACTAGCCAGTAGTAGCCACTACCAATTGCTCAACCAAAAAAATCAGCATTGTGTAAATATCATCCTTCTGCTTACAGTTCTCGTCTCTATTAGTGAAAACACGAACTTCACCTTTGATTTCAATCCAACTGCATCCACAAACCCTCATTAGCCCTTTCTCCTTCATCTCTCTCCTTACATATGATGCCTCACCCCAATTTCCCGCCGAAGAGTAAGCATTCGACAACATTACATAAGTCGAAACGTCACACCCAGGATCCAAAGCTACGATCTTTCGTGCTGCCAATGCTCCCAATTCTACGTTCGAATCTATTCTACACCCTCCGAACAATGCCTTCCAGAACCCAATATCAGGATCGAATGGCAAGCTCGTGATGTATTCTGCAGCTTCCTTGAATCGTCCACAGCGAGAGAGTAGATCAATCATACACGCATAATGTTCAGGTTTCAATGCGCTGGGGCTCCTGATCCTTGCTTGGTTGAAATGTGATAGAAACCGATTCCTGTAGTGTTTCTCTAATTATTAATATAATAATTATTAGGGCTAATACCACTACAACACCCGAACTATGCAAAAAATGCCACTTGTGTCCTATTGTTTTCAATATTCCATCTGTGTCCTGAACTATTATAGTTTGTGACATTTGTATCCTGTCGGTTCTGTTGACCGTTAAGTATTAACGGTTGACCAGACGCCTTTTAAAACGACGTCAGATTGCTGCCAACGTGGCTACCTTGTGGCAGACACGTAGATGCCACGTCAAATGAGAATTAATTTTTTTTTTTTACAAATGGGAATTAAATTTTTTACCCAGCTTATATTAACCATCTTCCCTCTTCCCTCTTCCCATCGACCTAACTTCTTATCTTCTACCCTTTCTTCTCTTCTACCCAGCCAAAGTGACGAACTTGGTTTGCTCGAGTGTGGCTTTCGACGACGACGACGACAGGCGTTTGTGTTTAGGCAGGCGCATATGGAGAAGTAGCGAGGCGAGGGCGGGGCTTGCGTTGCGTCGGCTCGGAGTGGGTGTCGGGGTAGTGGCGGTGAGGAGCCACGAGGAGCTGCGGTTTGTATTTGTGTTGGGGCGAGGAGATTCGACTGTGAAGACATTGCGAAGAATGTCAATCCGCCAGAAAAGAGCCTTACCATCTATTAGGTACATTAATAGTTGATTTTGGTAATTTTTAGGGTTTCTTTCAATTGGGGATTTAGTGTCTTGTTCCTCTGTGGCAGTAATTCAAAAATGTCCAGAAGAGGGTCTCAAAGCATTTCTGGGTCGAATTCATCAAACTCACGCACCGTTAAATGTCGGCATAATATACCAGCTATTGTGTATGTTTCTCGAACTGAACTGAATCCGGGGAGGCAGTTCTATTGCTGCCCTCATTGGCAGGTAATGAATTATTGGTTTGTTGATTAATTGTGATTGATATGGGCAATGATCTCACAATGGGCTGATTTCTACATGGCAGGATGAGGAAGAAAGTTGTCGTTTGTTCATTTGGGCTGATACTCTGAACGAAGACAACGAAGGTGCTTGCTCCAATGGGGTTGTTGGAGGGAATGAATATATCAGGTCGAACCTAGGTTTGATGGACTATCAGACTGAAAGCTTGAAAGAGAGTTTAAGGGTTGCTGAAGAGAAAGCAGTGCGAAGAAAGAAGGCCTTAAAATTGTTGTATGGTGATCTAGCTAGCATTAAAGAAGAGAATGCTAGGTTAATTGGGGATTTAAGGTTGGCCAATACTCGTCTGTTGTGTGTATTGGTCGTTTTAGCAGCCTTAGTTATAGGGATAGTTATTGTAGGTTTGAATTCCTCCATGTTCTAATCTGTTCTTGTTGTAAGCCGTTTTGAGAACCTTTAATATGTTACTTATCTAATGGGATATTTCTTTGTATTTTAACATGCATCTAGTGGCTATACCAGCAAAATGCAACGCAACCTTCACAAAAACTCGACATACCTAAATAGTTGATTTTACATTCACATAAACCTGTCATTACCAAGGTTCCTAAAATGTCGATCCAATGTTTAGGAAATATACACCATTTCCATGGATCTACAGGTAACCTACCATACAAAAGGTTGATCCAACTTCAATGTCACATCTCAAAACGAATACCACATATCTGGTAGAGGTAGGCTACTATACAAAAACACATTCTACTACTATCTAAACTACTGCCGAGGTTGTGAAGGTTGCGTGGCAGGTGGTTGAGATCCACCTTGATCTATCTCAGTAGGAGCTGCATTCTGAACGATCCTTCCACTTCTTAGCGTTTTGCCACGACCATTAGGACCATTAAGGATAACATAGGTATTACCCAAATCAGTGTGCAGAACTCCAATCCCTTGGTTAGCCTGCACATTCGTGTATGAAGTTCTCATATTAGAGCACGCTTATCTTCTTCAATCACATAAACATCAAAGTTAATTGTAAGGCTATGGATTCTGTCAACAACCATACCATCCTAACCTCCCTTGCTAAATCACGCCTGCTGGTCACTTCACGATTAACGAAGGCTTCCTATTAACACAACAGTGTAGCAATCACGATTAACGAAGTTCTCATATTAGAGCATGCTTTCATCTCATATTAGATTTACCTGGATTCTGCCACTTAAGGGACATGTCCTAGCATTATGGTCATCACCTCTACATTTGGAACACAGACCTCTGCTCCTTGCAGCTGGAGCAGCTGGAGCAGCACGTCCAGTTTGGGCTGCTGATGCACCTGGACCAGATGGAGCTGGAGCAGCTTGTCCAGTTGGGGCAGCTGGACCAGATGGAGTTGGAGCAGCCTCATTATTCCCTCTCCTGCGAACTCTTCTACTTCCACCTGCCTCATCTCCACCCACATTCTATAATACGTTGAAAAGATGATAATTAGCAATACATTTAAAAGGCAAGTATTGAAAGTAGTTGTAATTGACTAATGTCCTTACCTCTCCAGCACGAAGTTCTGGACAACGTCTCACGTTGTGATTTGGAGATTTACACTTGCTGCAATGCATGACAATGGATTTCCTCCTTATGGCAACACCTCCAGCCCCATGACCAGTAGTCTCGATTTCTCCTGGTTGTCTCCTCCTCTGTTTTTTAGGGCGGCCAGGCAGAATCCTAAACTTGGGAGGGTATACAGGATACCCTTCAGCTTCTGGCCATGCCTGCTGGCCCTCCAAGGTAGGAATGCCATGTCTGTAGGCCATCTCATACACCTCCACCTTGTAATATTGGGTGACAAACATCTCTGGTTCCAACCTCTTATATTGAAAACATGCAATTGAGTGGTGACATGGTATACCAGTCAGCCCCCAATAACCACATGTACAAGATTTGTCTTCAAAGTTTACCACATATCCCTTTCTACCTTCTGCAACCTCGAACTTCTCATCCAAACCGGGACTAACAACACACATCTTTGCCAAATCTATCCCAATCTTGAGCTTCTTTTCAATTCTAGGGCAGAAAACGGTATCAACTTTCTCAATGTTCTTCATCTTGTCAACAAACCTAACCATCAACTTCCGACGAATGCCCTCTAGCATGTCGATAATTCTGTCCTCCCTTTCCTCAAGGATATAACCGTTAAATGTTTCACATATGTTGCTTTCCACCGAGTCACACCTTGGTACGTGGCTCATGAACGCTCTACAGAAGGTGTGTGGTTCTTGATCCATAAAATCCTTATGCAAGCTAGGATCAACCCCACTAGACTGAATGTCTTTCATCTTCTTCAAATGATAATTATATTCAGGAACATTCGTTGCATATACTGCTGCCCAGTATAGATCCCGATGCACCTTAACTCGATGATTGACCTTCCAGTTGGCAAAAACATGCCTTGCACATTTCCTCTGAGAAGCTTCGGGTAAGCAAGTGCTTATTGCTTGCACTAGTCCCTAAGCAAACAAGATAATTCATGAGTTAGTAAAACATCATTGATCATAAAACAACAAAGAAGTGTCATTGAGGGGTATGTTAGTACCTTTTGTTGATCAGATATGACAGTCCATCCACGACCATCAGTGGTCCTAAGGTCTTGTTGAAGTATTGACACGAACCAATTCCACGAATCACTGTTCTCTCCTTCTACAACAGCCCACGCAATAGGGAACATCCGATTGTCACCATCTTTCCCAATTGCACTCAACAACATACCAGTTACTTCCCCCTTAAGGAAACACCCATCCAAAGCGAACATAGGACGGCAGGCCCTAGTGAAACCCCTACTTAATCCACTGAACCCTATATACAGTCTCTTGAATAGGACACGTTCAGGAATAGAGCTTGGGTCAACCTCAAGTATGAAGGTTCCAGCAGGATCTTTCCTCTTCATTTTTGCCACATAGGACCTGACCTTATTGTACTCTTCAACCAATGAGCCACCCAACATTCTCTTCGCATAAATCCGAGCCCTATAGCATTGCCTCCTGGAAATCTGAACGTTGTGTGCTTGCCTTATTTCAACCATCATGTTCTTGACCTTCCAATTCGGCTCCCTTCTGAATCTGTCGAGATACTTCTTAGCAGCCCAAACAGCATTTGCAACTTTCATCCTCACAGACCGAGGACATGTGTGATCCTTTCCAACATTCTTGATCATAAAGCAAGAACGTCCATGCCAGCTTGCATAAACGTACCACCCGCAGTTGTTACGACATTGAGCACGCTTCTTTTGCTTGTCACTTCTAGTCCATCTCATGTCAGCTCCAATGGCAATGCAATGGTTTTCAACGGCCTCCTTGAACTGCTCGGGGTTGTCAAATGTCATGCCCACAACCAACTTAAGAGTTGAATGGTCACACATAGGGTCATATAGAGGTCCATTTTCTAGAGGGTTACCTTTGTCTTCGTCATCAATGTTTCCCCTCACATGGCGTGACTCAATTGAACCCCTGTAGACTGAATCTTCCACAACACTGTCCCTCAAGACCTCGTTAACAACATCATCCAAACCAATGGTCTCACTGTTACCTCTTCCTTCATTCACAAGTGGGTTACTGTTACCATCATCAGACACAAGTGGACTGTTAACTCTGCCTTCATCGACAGGTGGGTCATCATCATCAAAAAATGACTCTTGCTCTACCTCCTCCCCAGTTCGATCAACATGAGTACGAACTCGTCGTGGTCTGACTCCTTGCTCCTCCATTGCATCAATGAACTCATCATCCGAAGTACGGATATCATCATCCATGAGATGGATAATGTCTCGGTTTTGTGAGTTATCCCCATCCTCCGAATCACCATCATCAGATAACTCTCCTCCAAGTTCTTCATTGTCCCCGATTTGTGTTTCTATTGCCTCCATGAATATCATAATTTTTCCATCTTCTATGGCTGGGAGCAAGCCATCCATCACCTCACTATCAGACCGTATTTCAACTAGACCATTATCCAAAGTGTCGGAGGGTGCCATGTACCACAGCCTCTCAACCCTTGCGTAATCGAAGTGGACTGTTCCAATTTGTTGGAGTTGGAAGAACGAGACATAATCTATGTCCATGTCAACAGCCTCTGACTTGCCATTTATGTAGCGAATACCATCATCAGAATATTCCATTTTGCCACCATGATGGACAATCAACTCCACCAATGTCGACATCCTGCAAAACCAAACAATCCCCATTTAACAATAGCCTAAATTCATCGAATTCATACATTAAGCATACTTTAACCAACCACCCCTAATATTCTATTCTGTAAAGCATTCCACAAAGCATTTGGAATACTACTTTGCTTCTGGAAGACCACAAAACTGATTCTCATCTCAATTGAATAATCCGATCCAAGACAACGACTTCTCAACCACCAATGTAAATGACCAATACGTACTAATTTCACCCATATCATACCTGTTTCTGAAGTTGCCAAAAGGGTAAATTAGTCTTCACACTGTCCTCGTGGTCCCTGCTTTCAACCTTTTCCCAGAGAATCTCGAGCTATAACACCAGCACCCCAGCTACTCCATTTACTCCTTTGTACTATTTCTGGCACCTTCGTTGCTTCCCAACCACACAGACACCCTTCAAATACTTCCAACACTCCAGAAAATAGACCACAAAGCCTCGACCAGAAACCCTAGAAAATTTGGGGGAAACTCAAATCCCGCAAATCAGCGCCTTCTTCTTCAAATGGCTGCTCGAATCCTTCAATGGTGGACGATTTGAAGGCTGCGAATGTTCCAGGAGATGTCGAGAAGAAAGAATCGGCGATGGTGGTCGTGGGTCGATCTTCGTCAGACGGAAGAGGCTGAAGAAATCGCCCTCCCCTCGCGGAATCGAACGCCCGCTTGCCGTCTTCCCCGCTTCTCGTGTTGCTGAGAGCCTTCACCAGGGCCGAATCGAACGCCCCATGCTCGAGTAGAGGAGAATCACCAGCGCCGATAGGCCTTCTTCGTCGGTTTAGGGTTCTTCCTCTCCTTTCGCTGCTGTATTCTCTCTCTTCGATAGTAAGATAAGGTAAATGTGGTTGGTGAAATGGTTAGATAAAATTTACCTTTTATTTCATTTTAGCTTTTTAAAATAAGAAAAAATAAAGAGCCACGTCCCAGCAGAAAGAGCCACGTCCGCGTACACATCAGCACTGATCTGTCATTCCGTTAAAATTTAACGGTCAACAAAAGTCAACGATAACAGAATCATAGTTCAGGACACAGATGGAATATTGAAAACAATAGGACACAAGTGGCATTTTTTGCATAGTTCGGGTGTTGTAGTGGTATTAGCCCTAATTATTATTAGGGTAATTATCAATAAGGTTAGTAGTCATTTGATAGAATTAGGTTTATTGTTAGGGTTTTCCACTATTTCCTATATATATGTACTTTGGGTTTTCATTCAGGATCAATAAGAAGAATATTAAGAAAAGCTTTCCTTAAACCCTATTCTCCTAATCCTCTCAATTCTCGTTACCAATCCCTCTAAAGGCCTAGGCCGATTCTCTATCTTTCTCTTCTCAAATCCCTAATTCTACTCTTAATCCCTAAATCCCTAATTCCCGATAGAACCCTAATCTCAGGTTCTATCAATTGGTATCAGAGCCATGGTCACAGATTTGAGTTCATCACAACTTTCACCAGGGAATTGTTATCAGAAACTCTATCACACGTTTGAAGCTCTCCAAGCCAGTCTAGTAAAATATGAAGCTAGTAGGGAAGCATATGAAGCTAGCAAGGAAGCATATGAAGCTAGGAGGGAAGCTCACAACGACTATATGATAGCAGGCCTGAAAGAACTTCGAGCCAAACTCGAGCGCTATGCGGCCCGCCGTCGCGCGACCCGCAACCAGCCAAAGTCGACGTCGAGTGATTCATCAGCCTCCATTGAAGATACTCCTGCTATTGTGGAGTTTGCTCCTGCCGCCGTGGAAATCAGCTCAATCGGCGCAGCTCCTCAACTGGCTTCCACCACTGATGTCCCAAGCATCCTCACAACCATCATCGAGGGTCAACCGCTACGGACGTCGATAGCAGCAGCGACAGTTCCGATCACCAAACCATCAACTCCACTCGGCGCGGCCGATATTGAAGTAACAGCTGCTGCGAAGGCATCACCCTTCACCGATCCGGCCGCTGCGGCTATTCTTCCAGCACAGCACAACAAAGAAGATGACCGAATGGCACAATTCCAATCGAGGGCTGTTGAGAAGGTTCAGACTACCCCTAGAACGAATCCAATTCCAATCAAGGGCTGGAAATTCAAGAAGAGGAAGAAAAGGAAACAGAGGCGGAAGCTGCTGGAGGGTAACACGCCGTCGGAGAAGAAGAAGGGATTGAAGAAGTGCGGTGCCAGCGCTGACCGTCGAGAAGAAACCGAGGCGAAGCTGGAGGCGCGGGCTGATGGCGAGTCACGACGGTCGCGGGCCGAGGCCGACGCAGGCGGCGTGTTCGCGGCGATGGCGCGCCAGGAGGGAGCGTCGCGGGCTGAGGCGCTGGTGACGGCCGCGCGTCTTTGTCTGGACACGGCGGAGCTTCAACTCGCGCGCGGGACGCGGCGATGGGAGTCCGTTTCCTTTGCGACGTCAGGCGGAGGAGACCCAAGGCGGAGGGCGGAGGAGAGCGGGTCTCCCGATCGGCTGCTGGGGTGTACGCGGGAGTCAGAGGAAACGGGGAAGAAGGTGGCGGCGGCGGCCGATGAGGAGGAGACGCCAGCAACTCCTTGGGCGTCCCACCGGGTTGAGCTGCCGGTGAACGAAGTGAAGAAGGAGATCGGCGCCGGGAAGCTGCTACTCGCGTCGCTGGGAAAGGAGGCGACGGAGAAGGAGGGGCCGACGAGTGAGACGAAGAGGGAGGTCGGCGGTGGAGGCATTCTTCGTGCAAACCCTAAGTCCACCTCCATTCGCACAGCACAGCTGGGTCGAGCCCAATTCAGCAAAGAAGGTTGGGTCGGGTTTTGTCATGGGCCGAGTGCAGCGCTCCGGGTGGGCCGAGAGAAGAATCTGAGTGGGCTTGCCTTGGGCCTCACTGATCAACAAAGTGGACTGCAACTTGGAGTCAAGTGGGCTAAGGCTGAGAGTGATCATGGGCCTAACCCTAAGTCTGACGGGATAATTCTCTGGTCAAACAATAAAACAAGTGGTGGGCCGGATCGGGTGGAAAAGTGGGGCAGCCCAGGGCTGTGGCAAGGCCCGAACGTAGAAGAGGCAGTGGGCTTCACAATTAGTTGTGAGCCTCATTTTTTATGGAGCATTGGGCCAACATTAATTGGGCCGACCAGAACTATTCTATGGATGGACAGAGAGGAAAATGAAGATGGTTTTGCAAACTTATTTTGTGGGCTTTCAAAGGAACATGAGCCAAATGCAATTGGAGAAACTTATGGGCTAGTTCCAAAAAAGATATTTGCAGGTCTTGATGAGTTAGTACTCAGAGATGGATTCTTGAACAAGAATGAACCGTCGGGTTCCTTGAGTTATGGGATTGGGAGGCCAACAAAAGCGGAGATGATGAAGTTCGAATTTATCAATGAAGCGGGTAGTAAGCCCATAAAAGTGAAAGTCAAAGAATTAAATCAGCACAAGAAGGGTGATGGAAGAAGCCCACTATTGGATCTAGAGCACGATTGGAAGAAACGAAAGCGCCGAAAATGGAGGAGTCAGCGTGCGGATTGGACGGGAAGGAAGGGAGAGTGGGTCAAGTCGGTCAACCTTGAGGACAAGGTTGGTCTGAAGGGGGAGGAGATGATAGAAACCGATTCCTGTAGGGTTTCTCTAATTATTAATATAATAATTATTATTAGGGTAATTATCAATAAGGTTAGTAGTCATTTAATAGAATTAGGTTTATTGTTAGGGTTTTCCACTATTTCCTATATATATGTACTTTGGGTTTTCATTCAGGATCAATAAGAAGAATATTAAGAAAAGCTTTCCTAAACCCTATTCTCCTAATCCTCTCAATTCTCGTTACCAATCCCTCTAAAGGCCTAGGCCGATTCTCTATCTTTCTCTTCTCAAATCCCTAATTCTACTCTTAATCCCTAAATCCCCAATTCCCGATAGAACCCTAATCTCAGGTTCTATCAAAATGTGAGTAGCCAGCATCGACAAGACCGTCATGGTTGCAAACTTGCAAGCCCATAGAACACCCAAAAGGGTGACATCGTTCGGGTTAAAACCTGATGCCACCATCCTGTCAAAGAACATCAAAGCATCCTTTGCTCTTCCATTCCGTGCAAGCCCACAAATCACAGCGTTCCAAGAGACCACATTTCTGTCAGGAAGCTTGTGAAAGACCAGGAGACTATCCTCCATATCCCCACATTTCTGCGTAGAAGCTGATCAGGGAATTCGCGAAGAACGCATCGAGATGGCAATTCGTTTTGACAGCACAGGCATGGTAGTAGCTTTTGCCGATTCCAATTGCTGCTACATTTGAAGCAGCCACGATGGCACGAGGAAACGTGGATTCAACTGGCATTACGCGCCTTGTCTCAGCATTTCGAACGAAGAGATTTACAGCTTCTTCATTGTGTGACCCATTTGGCCAAGTCCACCGATCATCGCGTTTCCAGGACACCACATTCTTCTCTGGAATCCGGTTGAAGAGCCTGAGAGCTTCTTTGCAAGAGCCTCTCTTCTCTTCAGTTAATAATGTACCAAAGTTGTGTGCGAGACAACAATGGGATGGTCTATATCCTCAAATGCCCTTTGAGCTTCGTGTAATGAAACTAACTTGGCGTAAAAATCTAGCAATGCAGTCCCCACAAAGACTACAGAGTGAATTCCCATTCTCACAGCACCACAATGGAGCTGTCTCCCCAATTCGATGTCCTTGATTGCTATGGACAATGGAATCACAGTGATTGCTTCTGTCTGGCTAACTCCCCAATTACCTTTGTCGCGGTTCTGGCATCTGGTATGGGCAATTGAACAAACAGTTGGTGGGCACTCGACCCTGTAGTGTCTGGTTTCAATACCCAGGTGCACGACTGGAGGTTACGAGATAAAGTTCGAGTCTTTCTGGGGAAAAGGAGCGAAGGAGCCAATCTGCATAAACTGGGAGCCATTCCAAGTTTCGAAAATGTGCAAACGGCGATCACCTAGTCCCTCATCCGGCTCTGAGTTTTGTATTGGTTTGGGCGGAGATTGAACTGTCTAAAATTGTGGCCGACTGACCCAAACCGAAGGGAAAAGGAAAATGGGCCTAAAGCCCGGAAAGTGAGTCGCGGGCACCCATGGGCCATGGCCACTCTACAGAGCCATCTCTCCCGCTCTCAAAATGATTATATGAGCAACGAAGCAGATGGTTTTCCAGATTCCTGCAATGGAAGACATGAATTTTCTGAGAATCCACAACCGTTGCTACCAGCCTCGAATCCATATCGACCAACTTACCCATCATCGTCACTTCTCTGCAGTAATCCAGTTCCCCTCGACGCAAAGATCGAGCCTTGTCAGTTCTTCTACCATTTCGTCACTCTCTCTGTCTAAACCCACCTTCAGGTTTTCGAGAATCCCGAGAATCAATGCATCGGTTGTGGACGGGAAAGGGGCAGAGCGCCAAGAAGAAGGGTTTTCCAATCATGGGACGGAGATGGATTACTTGGCACCTGATGGGGATGTCTACCTCAATACGCTGAGACTGGTGGAATGCTCCATGTTTGCTGCTGTCACTGGCCTCGTCTACTTTCTGAGCAATTCCCTCTCAATTGAGGTCGCTTCTCGATTCCTCTACTTCAGTTACCAACTGGGTTCTTCTTTTTTCTTCGATAATTAGCTACTGGATTCTCCTTGGTTACGAATTCTGTGCTTCTTTGTTCTCTGTGTGGTCTTTTATTAGTCTTTGATACTTGTCTTTTCTACAAGTTACAAAATATGATGCTGGTGTGTCAGTGAAGAAAAATCTCTTGGACTGAGCTGCATAAGGTTTTCTGATGATATGGTTCTAAATTTCTGCAGAATTACTTTGGATGCTTCTTTTCGTTGCCAATTGTAATATCTTCACTTAGATGGGGTGTCACAGCAGGCAGAAAAACCATGGTTGGTGCTTTCTTTATTGTTGAAAATTTATGTAACAACATATTTAGAAGAAATGTTGATTGAGCTGGATCAGTGTTGGATTGGCAGGTAGCAACTGCTATGCTCTTGTTTGTACTGTCTGGTCCTGTTAAGGCATTAACCTATCTGGTGAGTTAGCATCTTCAACACTCCTAAATCATACATATGCCTTATTTTTTGGAGTATGCATATCAAGCAAGTTATTTCACCGAATATCAACTGATTCAGTTCGAGCTGTTATTGGATAGAATGAGACAAAGTAGTAAAAAGGATTGCTCTATTGTTATGTGTCTATGATTCAGTGGCTGCTGTTTATCATGGGGTCATTGAATTGCTGAACAAGAGGGCACGATTGTTTTGGACAATTCAATGACGTGTTTGATCAGCAGCTCGTCATTTTCTTACGTGTTTGATCTTTTCAACAGCTGACTCATGGCATACTTGGTTTGACAATGGGCTCCTTGTGGAGGTATGTGATTCTAATTTTTGAGTAGTGGTTTCACTGCCTTCATGTGCCTTTCCAAGGCTAAGAATAGATGCTCTGTAGCCTTGTTTGTTCCTGAATTATACTTATTGACTTCTTGTTTCTAAAGTCGTGTGCGTATATTTTTATGCTGTTGATGTGTTGGTACAATTAATGTAGGCAGCTCCTAACACTTCATTCGAACAAGCTTGCTACTGTTCAGCAGAAAGCATGAAGGAGAAGTTTGTTGTATCAGATTGTTACAGTAACTCTGGATTTTAGTTGTTGCCATCTTTCAGGTTACAAGCAAACTGGACAGTTTCAATATTCGTGTGCACTATAGTAGGGTTTGCTTCCTTTAAGCCTCCTTAACTCTGTGCCCAATTTTCTTGCTATACCTCTCAACAGAACATGGCTTTACTATTGCAGGCTCGGGCAACTGGCGCCATGGGGTATGTCTTTACGTCCTCGTTCTTAATACGAGAAAACATACTTGCTCTGGTGATTGGTTTGACCCTTCTTCAATATCTGTAATAGTTCCTGGGCTCACTTTGCCTGTTTGACTAACCTGATTTTCTTTTGGGGCTAAATTACACATTTGGTCACTCGAATTACATTAATCTTTCACGTTTGCCACCCGGATTATTTTTCTTTCTTACTGACCACCAACTTTACAAATTGTTTCACCTTTAGTCACCCACCGTTAGTCTCCGTTAAATTCCGTTAACGCCGTCAGTTTTTTGATGATGTGGCAAACGGAACTTCTGACTGTACAATTAATTTAATAAAATAACAATTAAAAAATAAAATTAAATTAATTTACCCCTCGCCCAAACAAACTCTCTATCTTCCAATTTCTCATCTCTCTAAAACTAGTAAAGGTCTTCTCGCTCCCTCACCCGCAAAACCTACCCGCCTCGCTCTCACACTCCACAGACACCCAAACCCACCGGCGGAATAAACAGAAACAAAAAAATAATGAAAGCCCACATCTCCCCCGCCGCAACTGCCTGCGCCACCGCCTCCCAGGACTGGAGCATCTACCTCGACACGAAACTATCACTAAGTACTGAATCCACGAGCGGGTCGGTTCCGACGCTTACTCCGACTTCCACACTCCGACTTGGCGTTAGTAATCCGGGAAGGGAAGATGAAGGGAGGGATCCGCCCCGGTGAGGTCAAGCAGTGGATGATGCAAAATCTCTCCGGCCTCGACGCCTGCCACCGGATTGTGGTCGTCCATCTCGATTTGACGCCTGGCACATTGGGGATTTGAATTGCAGCTTTTAATTAGGGTTCCGTTTCATGAATGTCTGACTTTGAATTGGGGTTTTTTTACTACGCAATGGATTATATCCTTCACCTTGGCCACGATTTGCATATGCCTTGCCCAAATGTTATGGTCGATCTCGATGGTAAGACTATCTCTTGCTTGAGAAGTTGCTTCTTCAGCTGAGAGGAAGGTGTCAGGAGGGATCTAGATGGAGGCGATGGGAAGAGAGGGAGAAGGAGAAGACGACGAGGGTGGTTTTATGGCGAGATAACTGACAGAGCTGGATGGTGGTTTTCAGGCGTTGGCCTTCAGCGGCGGCTGCTGTAAGGAAGGGAATGGTTGAAGATTAGTGAGAAAGAGTGGGAGGGGAAATGGTTTTTTTATTTTTTATTTTTATATTTTTTTAATTGACATGTCATTAAATTAATGGTACAGTCAGCAATTCCGTTTGTCACGTCATCAAAAAATTGACGGAGTTAACGGAATCTAACGGAGACTAACGGTGGGTGACTTACGGTGAAACAATTCATAAAGTTGGTGGTCAGTAAGAAAGAAAAATAATTCGGGTGGCAAATGTGAAAGATTAATGTAATTCGAGTGACCAAACGTGTAATTTAGCCTTTTCTTTTGATTTCCATATTTGTAGATTACAGTAAACATCCACGCATCTCTGAGTTATGTGTTTGCTGCCACTGGCATTAATACCATTCCATCGATGAACTTCATATACACACTGTTTGGAATTCTTGTGAGTTTCTGGCTCAGCCCATTTCTTTTGTACTAGAAACTTGCTCTCGCGGACCCTTTCGAATGCTTGCTTCCTACTGATGAACGATTTCCCTCCAGGTGTTGATAAACAGCGGATTCTTTGTGTTCCTACTGCACCTCTTGTATTCCGTGTTTCTAACTCGCCTTGGAATGAGGACTTTGTTGAGATTGCCGAGATGGCTTGACAAGGCCCTGTGAGTAATTGGCCTCTGCAGTTTGTTATCAGCCTCACATATTACAACCATGAATTGGCATGTAAGACTGCAAAAGTATGATGTAGCTGCAATTATCTCGCACTGTAGGTAGATAGTTCTCCTTTTTCCCCTTTAAAGAGGCACATCACAAGTACCTAGTTCATTGTTGTAGAAGAAACTCATGGAAGGAAGCAATCTACCTCCCTTTGTAAAATCTGCTGATATCATATGTTGATAACTCTTGTAAATGCCTCATCTTTCACATAATCAGTTGTGTTCTCTTACATGCACCCCCTCTGTTTTGAGTTACTTCCACTAGCCGATTGCAACAACTAACCATCTACAAGCCTAACTTCCCCACAATGGAGCTTTTAAGGTGGCCACTTAAAACTGAAATCACATTGACGGGGTAACAGATAACGGAAGCAGAAGAGCTGATGAACTGCCTCAAAAAACAGTTATACTGCTTTAGAAATGAAAGCCTAGAAAAGAAGCAATATTTGAGATTATCTCAGTTCCATATGCCTCAAAAGTAACCTAAACAAACCCAACTACAAGGATTCAATAGCATCTCGTCCCCCTACACTGTTAAGGAGAACGGTTATGCATTTTAACCCGCTTACAAAACCCTGTGTCATTTAATCAGACAGATAAATCCTGAAACACATTTCCCATGGTTGCTGTCTTGCTTCCTCCCTCAACTCCATCAAGTTGATACATCTGCATCATCAAAAGCTATAATTCTGCTGCCCAGAGTTTCTTGCACTATTTTGAACCACCCTGAAAAAAATGTAATGCATTTGGTTGTTAAAGATAGTTGCGGATACAGAAACGCCCTAGGTCTGCATTGAAATGAAGGATGGAGGGACATACAACGTCCGAAACTGGATCTTTCAAGCTTCCTTTCTCGTTATCCTGTCCACGAGCACCAGAGTCGAGTTAATATAACATATCCAATCAATTCAGCACATGCACAACCATAGATATAACAGATTCTCACCTGAAGCAGTTGATCCCTAAGGCAGTGGTAATTTCATAAATGACTGAAGTAGCAAAGTGCAGATAGAGACCCACTGCATAATGAACCAGCATACAATTGGTCAGAACATATAGAGGGGAACTGCTAAAAATGAGTGCAATCATATAGAACTGCTTCGGTATGTTTGTCAACAAGGGTTTACAAGGATATCCAACAGATGATTAAACACAAACCTGTGAATGAACAGTAACCAAGAAGAACCCACAACTCATCCACCAAGGGAACTCTGAAATGGAGAGTCAACACAAGTGTCACTAGGCGGAACTTCAAGAGCAAGTCAAGTGAAATAATATGAAATTTGGACATACCCATCGTTCAGTTTTGCTGTGAGCGCATTGGCAATGGCTAAGGGTAGATACAGCAAGGACTGCAAAAATTTTGCAGATAATTTAAACAATAAAATGTCACAAGATTCAAAACTGCTAGGTGTTACTGACATAAGTTACACATACCATGCACATGTTGGTTTTCAATCCCTTTGGTTCATCACACAAGTGAGCAAGAACCATTCTCCCCTGTCAAAACAAGCCTTTACTCAGCACCGGTGAAAAGCTGAATATTCTTATCCAGTGGTTTCGTAAAAAGTAGACATCTTACCACAAGAAATCCAAATGCTACTCCAGTTCCCAGAACCACTAGGTGAGGATAATTTCCCATTATATCTGATGGAGATAAATAATCCCTGCATCAAGGCATGAGATGAAATATAAGATTCTTTACAAAAATAAAAGAACCAACTATACACAATGAGAACAGCACAAGTTCAGCATACCAAACTAGGACTCCTCCCATCAGCACGAAGAAGGGGTAAAGCTGTCATTAATAAGAAAACGTAAGACATCTATGGCCGATTTTTCAACGAACTGCTAGGAGAAAGGAAATCCTCAAGGATGTTATAGAGTTACCATTGCTAATGCCAGTGGCATGCTGCTCTTTCTAGCCTGAACAACTTTGTGAACATTTAACACACTGCCAAAGCACAACATACAAGATTAACATGACAGCTGAAAGCACAATATTATCGAGTTGAACTAAATATACAACAAGAACCCTTTGTCAGCGCACAGTTAACCAAGTGATGTCAACAAGAGAATGAAATAATATTCCCATTTTAAAATCCAGAATGCTTACTTGAAGATAAGTGTAGGAATCACAGCAAAAGCTATCATTAAGTAGAGCACTGCCTTGAAAGTTGGAATTTCTGCATTGACGAAATTCAGGGGAAAGAAAACATGATAATTGATCAAAAATGAAACCGGCTAAGCAAAACTAATCTTCCCAGAAAGAAAGGAAACAAGTTTCTCCTTCAGTATATAAACTATGGCAAATAAATACGGGTCTAGGGGTTAAAGTTGTGCACTTACCACTAATGAATGGTACCCAGCTCACAATAGGCAAAGACTTCCCAAAAGCTTGAATCCACCACTCAGCACCTTCAATCGAAAGCAATCAAGTTACTACTATATAGATACATTAAAGAAATAACGAAGCAAGAGAAAATAACTAGAGATAGGAAAACCAGAGGCAGCTTAAGTAGAGAAAATCGTACCAACTAAAGCAGTGTAAAAATGAGCGACGTATATGAGCATCAGACCCTCCGTAGGCCCATTAATTGCCGGAAGAAGGAGGGTATTGGTGAAAAAGCTGGATCGAAGATACAAAACAAATCTCATAAAAATCAGCATTCTGAGAGATCCTAGCATCAGGGTCTTGCTCAAAGCATATGTTTAGCTTGCTTACTGTTCCCATGTTGCCAAATAAAATGGAATAGCAGAGATGACCCAGAACCAGAACGTGTATCTTCCACACATTGCAGTGCTACCAAAAGCCATGGCTTCAAACTGGACGACGTAAGAAAAAAGGTTAAAAGAAGTTTCAAGCTATATTATTAAAGAATCGAAGTTCACCAACACTCACTGCACAACCAAGGGCATCACATCCTGCAGTTCATTACAAAAAAACGCAAGCAAAGTCAGGAAAAATAACACGAGGGGAATGGCAACGACATGTGAGAAAGGAAAATCACCGTGGTCAAACAGTTCCCCCAATGGACTGGAAGAATTTGTTCTTCTTGCTTGCTTTCCATCAACAGCATCAAATGTCTATTAAGTTCACGAAGAGTTGGGAGAACATTTCAGTAATTCACCCACCATAATGAACCAGCAAAAAGATCATACGAATGCATTACAATTAGGACCGAAGTCAAACCTGATACAAAAACAGCAATAATCCATGTGCAAAGTGAACCCATCTTGGTGGAGCTGTATCCAAATGGGGTGAATATATCTGAAGCACAAAAATTATCAGAAAATGGCAGAGAAGACACAGATTACAACTTTCCCAATAAAATGCCAGCAAAACAATCGTCACTCACATAACCAAGCAATGCCGAAGTAACCAAGAACATGAATCCTGTCAGTGTTATCTGAAAAAGGAAGAGTGCAACCACTTAGATGTCGGGGAGTATAACATAGTCAGCACCATCGAAATCTTTGAGTTATAACCTTGTGTTTGGAGTAAGGATAATCTTACCATGTTTGGTCTAGTAGAGATTCAGAACCAAACAGAAGTCCAGAAGAGGGGGGGAAAGAAGAAACAGAGTTAGAGATGATTGAGGAATAATCATAACACATCATAAAGCGAAATCTGCGTGAAAAGTCTAAGTATGAAGCTAGAGGGGCCACTACCACCATGACACAGCTGAATTTTTGCTAATACCCTTTACAGTGGACAATTAAGCTACCAAGCAAACTCAAATCAGAAATATGAAAAGGAAACCAACTTACGGCATCCAGAGAGGGAAGAAGGTAACGCATCGTGTCCAGAAGGGCTGCAAGACATATTTGGCAACCAATGAGTTATCGACTCCGCTGTACTTGTGTCTATGAAGAGCTGCAACTCCATGGGACCCTATGTACCCCATTCCTCTCTGCCTTCAAACAAGCAAACACCCGCAAACAATCTCTCAGAACCAGACCCAGAAACCCTCTCACGGTGTAATCTGTGACAAGCCCAGGAAACAAACAGGATAAGCAGCGTCAGGCCGTAAAGTTACAAACTTTCTCACTCCCTACGCAGCCAAAACACAATACACCGCAAAACCTCAAATCCAAGAAAGCGAAGAGAAATGGGGTCTAGCTTACCAGATCTTGAAAGGGGGGAAAAGGGCAATGAGGGGGGAGACTTTCTTTCCTCCTTTGCCTTTTTACCGTTCAGCAATCAGAGAGATTGGGAAGGGTGAATGAAGAGAGAAATGAAGATTCCGAGATTTTTGCGATTAAACAATGGAAAATTACTGATAAATAATTGAAGAAAGATATTTCTTTTGGGGTGAAGCAAAGCAAAATCTTGTCTCCCCGCCGTGAACTATGGAACAAAGAAGAGAACGGCGCCTCTATATAATTCCCGGCGACCCGACTGCTCTTCTTCCTTTTCAACGAAGGAAGGAAAATAAGCAAATAATAAAAGTATCGTGTGATGATATCGGACACGATTCGTCCAGTGGTTAAGGCATTGTCAGTTCGTCACTGGGCCACTTGTGGGTCAACATTCGGACGAAGATTGACCACATTAAATAAACCGACTAGATCAACAGTACAGGGCATTATATTATAGTAGTCGACTAACCTGTACTCTCGAGGCCGACGAGGCGAGATTAGATTCTGATGTTCAACTCACAAATTGTCGCCGGCGGCCGGCGAGATGAACGATTGAGGAAGGCGGGTTTTAGTTCTTCTACGAGGGTCGGCGCCGGGGAGTTAAGAAGAAGAGTGGGAGCCGTGTCGCCGTCAATCTTCACAGTTTCAGAGTCGGGCAATATTAATGGGGTTTTGCCCTTTTGCGAATCGGGGGATTTGGGAACCTAATTATTGTGTTTTCGACGAAATTAAATAGGGTGAATAACCTTTTACATCCCCATACTATGAAGTCTTGACAGGCAAGCCCCTGTGGTAGGGATGGCAATTTCGACCTGACCCGTTCTACCCGACCTGTTTGACCTGTTTTGGGGCGGGTCCGACCCGCCACGTAGGCGGGGCGGGCATGGGTAGTCTCATCGACCCGACCTGCCCTGACCCGCCCCATTCTCGACCCGTTCTTGTCTAAATTACATGAAATCTTAGTCAAATTACTTTGAATTTTCCTTTTATTGCATCATATTTTAGCTATAATAAAGTTGTAAATTAGTGAAAACCTCAATTTCTCCAATAATTTAACTACAATTGTCATAATATTGTTTGTTTTCTTAGTTTTATAATAAAAATAACGAATATTTCTAATGTTTTTCATATAAATTTTATACCCATTGGGTCGACCTGCCCCGACCCGCGACCCATGATCAATTATCCGACCTGGACCCGCCCTGCCACGGGGCGGGTCTGGGTACCAAGAAACCCGCCCCGGACCTGCCCATTGCCATTCCTACTGTGGAAGGAACATTGATAACTAGGGTAAACATACAGTCTTTTTATTACTGATTTATTGGATAACCAAAACTCAAGAGTCAAGACATGTGGTTTGTAATGAAGTCCAAGTGCTTAGTGGGTAGTACCTAAAAATCAAGAATGACATGTCATTTCAATTTGAAAAGAATAATTGAGCATGATCGACTAGAAATAAGCATGCCAATGGTTGAACTTAAACATTATCATGAACTAGATAACCAACAATCATATGAATGAAAGAGAAGCGAGTGGAGATGCCTAGCATTTGAGAGAGCATTTTGAAACAAATTAATATTGTCTCGTTATGAACGTCAAAGAAATTTATAAAATTGTGATGATGATAATAAATTACGTTTTCATAATGTCCCCGTACATCAAAACTACCATTTTTCATGTTCGTCCGATTTTGATGTACATTTGCAGCAGATGAAGGAAAAAAGAAGGTTCCTTCGAAAAAAATCGAAACATTGGTGGAGTTAAAACCAAAGTGTCAAAACTCTTGAACATAATCTAACAAAAGAATAAAGTTTCACAATCATCGGTATTTTAATATTTAATTGGACAATGTTTCACCGTCGCTATTTTTTTATGTATAGAAGGAATAACAGACTTTTTAACTAATTTTCTTCATACTTTGTATTATTCCTTAATGCAATGTACATAATATTCGCTATTTTTTTATTAATGGAAGGAATAACAGACTTTTTAACTAACTTTCTTCCTCATTTGTGTTATTCCTTTTAAGCAATGCACTAATATTCGCAAGCCATTAGGAATATGCTAAAAGTATGTACATGATGAGTTTCATTCCTTCCCCTCTCCTTCACAATGAAGTTGCTTTTGTTTTGGATCGTCCATTTCATTGGAAAAATAGTAAAACAAAAACAAGTGCAACTCCTGCGTACTTTTTCTTTAATATGGTGATTTAGAAAACGTAAATCACACGAATAAGGGCTTGGCCTAGTGCTAATACCATTAGCCTAAAACATGGAAGTTTCAGGTTCGAATCCCTTACAAGAAATAAAACGTAAATGACACTAATTCGAAAGTCAAATCTGATTGACAACATATGTCTGACAAATATGAAATAATCTACTGAAAGATCAGTGAATCACAGAGATCAAGTGGCACCTCATCAGATGGGTGGAGTAGAAGTCCAAGAAAACAGGACACAGTTATGGTTGGTGGGAGTGTCATCATCAGCCTATGCAACTTGACAAAGTTTTATGGTGGAGTAGATTCCAACCTTTCAACCTTTTCCCAGTCGACGCCATACAAACAGTACTTATAATTTAATTCCCTGGTGTCAAATAATTTCAATATCTGGAATCATGAACTCATGGATTTATGGTAATTCTTCATCAACAATGTCGATCTTACCGTGTATATTATTAGGCCATATACAATTACATTGCACAAGTTTAGTTGGTAACAATGCGACCAACAAAGGACTGAACAGCAGAACCAATCCACAAACCCCCTTCTCCTCCCTCTGCTTCCAAAACTTCACTCACTGAATTCAAAGCATCTCCACCACCTCCATCCACCACCTTCACCACTTCACCATCTTCACTCAGCTTCACACCCACAGGATCCATCTTCTTGTTCTTCTGCCCCATCATCCAAAACCAGCTACCATAAGAAGAAGATTCTGATGAAGTTGAAAGAATCCTGCCTCTACCAGAGTTGAGTGCCACCCAAAAATCCCCACTAGGGTTCCTCTTTATGTTGTCAGGAAACCTCCCAAGCTGAGCAAACAACTCTGGCACCACTGGGGAGCTGCTCATCAGCTGATCATGATCATCATCATGGTGAAGAAGAAGGAGCAATGGGAACTTGAGGATCCTCATGGTGCTTGATTCTGCCACCAGAAGGAAGGATCTGTCCTTGCTTAGTGCCACACCATTTGGAAATGCCAGCCCTTCTGATAAAACTTCAAGTTTTTTCGAGCGTGGATCGTATCTCAGTAGTCTTCCCGACCTGTCTGAAGTTATGATCGATAGTATCCAGTCCCTGCGTGTGACGAAAAACGATATCAGATTTACATCGTTGGAGGGTATTTCTCAATAACTCGAGTTATCGGGATTCAACTCGTTTTTTTAACATGGTTGTACCATCTTTGGAAGTAAAGGCTTGTGTCAGTGAAGTACACAATCCCAGTGGTGGAGTCGATGTCCAAAGCATTCAAGAACCTGAAAGGGATGCCTTGAGGGGAAGAGGAAACCAAAACCTTAGCCACACCGCCCTGTGGGCCTACTGCCAGTAGCCCAAAATAGGCATCTGCTATGTAGAGCTCACATGTTAATGGGTTGAATTTCAGGCCCAATGGTCTCCCACAATTGGGCTCCAGCTTTGGGTTTGTTGACCCATCACAAGCCTTCCTGTCCCTGTTCCAACTTTCAGCCATATCAAGCTTTATAAATGAGCCGGTTGTTGCCTATAGGTTGACTACAAAATTAAGTAGGGTGGATCAACTATCAACAACCACATCATAATCATAATGACAATTTTTTTTCTGTCTCATCATAATTATTGGTTTTAGTGATTTGACACAATAATTTCATCATGTCCACTATTTTTCTTTAGCAATTAAACGAATTACAAGATTAATAATATTCTACGCTATCAGTATTCGCTAAATTGTACTGCTCCAAAGCTTTGATTGCATGGAAGTTCCATGTCTTAAATGAACATTGATTATATGAATGGGCTAATATGATGATATGAATGGAATTGGATAACTTGCCTGTTATTGGAAGGTATGGCAAATTCCACCCACTTGCCAAGTTGAGCAGCAGCAGAAGAATGCCATTTGAGGATCCTGCCATCAGAGACACCAACATAAGGTCCTTCCCCATTGCAGTCAAATGCAATGCTCTCTGGCCCTTCCACTCCTTCTGGTAGCTCTACTTTCTGCAAACTCTTCAACCCATCTTCCACTATCATGCTGCTACTACCACAGACAACTGATGAACCCAACAGAAAGACTGCAACTACAAGGCTGACATGTTTCCAGCAATGACTTGGCTGTGTAATTGCAGTAGTCACCACCATGGTTGATCGAGCGAGCTCTGAGAGAAACAGAGAGATAGAGAGTTAGGAAGAATGGAAACTCCCTTGAGAATTTAGAACTAGCTAGGTGGTACTGGTACCTATTTATAACAGATTGGAAAGGGTTAATGTTCTTTTTGAATAATGGAATTCTGCAGTCAGTGGGGATGAATAATGATAAAGAGTACTGCAATAAATACATACTGCTGGCTGGTTTGAATGTTGATTAATGGAGAGGACCCTTTCAATGTTCTTCTTAATGAGCTTGTGAATGTGTTTGGTGGTGGGTATTTAATTATAATTGGGGGGAGAGAGGGTGGCGGGAAACCAGCTGCCAACTGCAAACTTCTTCACTGAACTCAACAGTCAGAAGTTGCATGTTTCTAGTTGCCAGTATGGAAAGTGTGTTGGTAGTTGCTAGTCATCATGTTGGTTTTCAGTTATGGAAGAAGAGCACACTCATCCTACCAAAAGTCTATAAGCTGAACTAGTATCTGCTGACTGAATATGCATGGCATATCTGCTGGACTGAAATGAGGAAGCAAAATTGTCCAATGGTAATAAATTCAGCTGCATTTAGTGAAGAAGCTAATATGTACAAACCATGCCACCTCCCTGCCTAAACATTTGGTTTGAACTCTTATCTTGGAAAGTACTATGATGTATTCTATTAGACGTCTGGCCTCTCATCCAATACATAATTTTTTTTATCTGGTTGAATCAACTGATAACAGTAAGAGGGCATTGGTGAAATATATTGTTAGGTCGCGCTCACTGTTTCTGTAGTCTTTGCTTGTACACTTATTTGGTCTTCTTTTCAGAGTTTCCTGCTCATTTTTTCACGACAACTTGATGTGCCCAACCAACTGATGCTGATGGATGAAGAACGGTTATGTTGTTTGTGCAGAGTTTGGAATTTTTGCTAAAACCTTGAGTTAGACTGGCACAATGTAATGTTTTTACCCAACCTACTTTGGAGCTGATGCTGAACAATCTGAAGCATCTAATTGTTGCACAAAGTTATTTATCATCAAACAAAACTTATCTTAACGTTGAAGTACTTAATATAATGATTCGAGAGTATTTCTCATTGAACCTTGGAAAAAATGATAATGCTGACTAGTTTGCTAGTACATTAAAAACTGATAACTGGAATGAGAAAATGTCCAATGTTAATTTACCTCGCCATTAGGATCACACTTAATGGTGTCGTTGGCGGAGATCATAGTTACTCGTCTTGGGAACACATACGATCGACTTGTCTGTCATATCATTGGGAGGTACATAGTCGGGATCTTCTAAACTGGCAACTTCTTCTGGTAACTCATCTTCAATCCACGATGGCCAATCCACATCGCTGTCTTCTTCCCATGAATCCTCCTTGTTTCTTTGCAAGGAGTTGACCATCTCTACCAACGATGCGATCATTCTATGATTTAACGCCTCATAGTCCCTGAAAATATCATGAATCATTAGGTCAAATTTCAAGTGCAACTATATGGGTGTATCACAGCTCTTGTAGGTCTGCCCTTTGACGAACCTGTATGTGTAAATGGCGTGTAGAAGCTGAAGAATAGCTAACACCGCATACAACGACCTCATCAGATTGATTATCCAAGTTTGTTGCTTGATATCACCTGGTGTGAGTCGAATGATTACCAGTTCCATGATGAAAGTGATGCATAGACCTGCAATGGTAAGAAGGCCATTATTGTATATCATGTTCTAGTCCTTTAACAGGTAAATATAAAGAGCTGCAGGAGACAAAGGAAATATAACGTACCAATATAGAGGTTTGCCCTCACTGGATATGTCTGCTTAGTGCTCGTGAGCATGTAGATGATGAACGTTGACATGACGTAGATGAAGAAAGCTTTGATTGCTCGTGATTCGAGCAGCATTGCATTATGCAGATCAAACAACTTGTCGAGAGCGACAAACATGCTTGCTTGCTTCATCTCGAAAGCTTCCTGTCAAAATGAGAACTTTAGCTTCATTCAAGTTCAGTTGTAAGGAGGTTTTGGAATGAATGATGGTTTGTTGCAAGAAATGAAAATCAGACCTGTGCTGCCAATATGGACTGTGAATTCTCAACCAAGTGATCATGAACTTGGTGAAGTTGCTCCTGCCTATGAAGAAGCTCTTCCTGTTGTTTACGACTCAGATCAACCAAATGTTGCGCAGCATTCCTGCTTTCTATTAGCGCTGCAGATTGGGATTCCGTGAGGATCTGAAGACCTTTGAGTGCAGTGGATTGTCCATCTAGAAGCTCTTGCTGCTTGCTCAAGGAACTTCCCGCCATGTTCTCGATGTCATCGGCTTTGCTCTGTAGAGTCTGAAACTTGAATGAAATTGCTTCTCCTACACTGTCAACCTGCTTCACAATCTCTATTGCCTCATTCCTCAGGTTGCCTACTTCCTCACCCAAACTATTGTAAGCATCATGAAGCATTGTCACTCCCTCCTTCAAGTCCTCATTCATCCTTTCTTGTCCTGCTCGTAACTCCGATTGTGACTGTGCAATTTCCTCTGATCGTCTGTAAACAGCTTCCGAGTGTTTCGACAATGTGTCCATCTGATTCTCCACACCCTTTGTTGTTTGGATGACATGCTGAACTTGGAGATCCACTGAACTCAACGAATCATGAATATGGTTCGAGCTTTTTAGTAGAGAGGACGTTGTATCTTTTATTACGTCCAATTTCTGCTCTGTATATTGCGCTGAACTTGTTAATTCATTAATCAACCTCTCAGTTTCACGGTTGAAGGCGTGTACCCTGCAAAACCATAAAACAAAAACGAGTCCAATTTCAGTTTCTGGGTTCATATATTTGCAACAGGTCGTCAATGAACAGAGTCATGCATGCAGAATAGAAGATGCCAATATCCCACAGTACTCAACTGTAATTGATAGCAGATGGAATTGGTTTCCAGCAAGAACTCGAGATAGATTTTCTGTTCATGGTCATCCAACTTCTTCAAGCAATGAATCATGGCCGAATCCTCGCCGCAGTGAGGGAAAGGTCCCCTCCCAGAGTCCTTCTGAAAGCAATCGCTGAGATGCCAGGCGAATCTAGAGCGTTTCTCGTCATTGGCGAAAATTTGGGTGCACCCAGCAAAGATGTGTTGGTAAGCGTTCTGCCAGCAAGAATTCGAACCAACCAATTTACTCCTTGCCTTTTCAACCAGTTCCATTCCTTTGGCATTTGCAGGACCGTCCATGGAGAACTCGGCTACCGCCACTCCTCCTCCTCTATCCTCAGCGGCAGAAGCTGAAGAGGACGAAGAAGAGAACCATCCCCATGACTGGCAATTTGGAGAAAATGACACTAAAACTAGGAAGAACAGCATAAGATTGTAATTAATCATGTTTTTAGTCTCAACTTTAATTAGGACTCTTCGATTTTTCCCCTTAAATTATTGATCGACGGAACCTGCAGATAGAAGAACCCAGTTGCAGAATCAATCTGTTAGGAAAATGGAAGAAGACAAACGATAAATGTAAACAGAAACTAGAGCGATTCTCCCTAAGTTCTCTGCAACTCTTATGTGCACACCTCTTTATAATAATACAGCGGGGACGGAATAAGAAACTTGGCTTGCAAGTTTAGCTTCTGCATTTTCGTCAATGGCGGTGGGTTTCTACATTATTATATTGGCCGGCAGCGGCTGACAAACGGCAAGGCAGTTTCCCGCTGAAGGGTCGGGGCGCTTCGAATTCTTCTTTTCTTTCCCGTTTTAGTTTTTTCTGTTTATGAATGGAAGGACGCTTGACATCACAACGGCGTGTCGTTTAAGGATGCTATCCTTTTGCTTCCTGTGATCGACGCTGGTGGAAGTTATAAATCTCCGACAAACTTCATGCAAATCCGAGATAAGAGGAGAGAGTCAGATAGAGAACTTAATCTTTACATGTGCTTCTAATTGTCCATTTGGACTAATCCATAATTGACGAGATCAAATAGGAAACACTATTCTAACTCGGATTATCTATAGCTACGTAGTAGGTAGTGAACGAGTGGCAAAAAAACGTATTTACTATTTAGTTAGATGAATGGTGAAAAGAATTTAGATCTCGAGGTAGATTGATTGATACTATAAAAAGTAGACACATAATAATTTGCTGATATAATGAAACGTCTGCAAGAATTACCATTTACTAGGGACGGAAGCGCGGCAACTTGGAAAACTGCTGTTTCAGCAGCAACCAGAATTGGACATGGAAGTTAACAACTCTTTAGCTTCTGGGTTCAACGAATCTCCGCATAAGAACAAGTGAACTTTCCCACTCAGTACGATCCAGCTGCATCCTGGAACCTTCTTAACACCCTTCGTAGCCATATCCCGCCTCAGCTTATATTCCTTCAGGTGGTGATCGTTTGATGCGTACAAGTTGCAGAGGTGGACATGAGCAGCTGCATTCATTGGGTCGACTTCAAGGACTAGTTTACCTGACCGTTGGGCAATTCCAAGGCTCGTCTTGTCTGGCCCGCACACACCGAGCATTGCTCCCAAGATAGCAGGGTGTCGATGGAACGGTAGTCCTGAGATGAAATTCTCTGCTTCTTCAAGTTTTCCTGCTCGGCCAAGTATGTTGACGATGGAGATGCAATGTTCCAAACCTGGTTGGATTCCATGAACTTCAGTCATCAGAGTGAATAACTCCAACCCTTTGTCAAGCAAGCCGGCATGACTACATGCCGATAGGACAGCCAAAAAGGTGAGGGCGTTGGGGCGTGTTCTTGATTCCGCCATGGCTTCGAAAACCTGTAAGGCTTCCCTGACCAGACCATGATGAGCGAACCCCATAATCATAGAATTCCAAGAGATCTGGTCGCGTGAAGTCATCCGTGAGAAAATTTCATAGGCATCACGGAGCTCCCCACATTTTGCATACATGGAGACCACAGAATTCTCAAGGATCAAGTCAAAGCCAGGTTGTGTCTTGATAATCATCCCATGCAGCGATCTTCCGTGATCAAGATATGCCATTGCACCAGCAGCACCGAAAAGAATGGTGTATGTGGAACTTAGGGGAATAACACCGCAAGTCCTCGTTTCCGAAAAGAAATGCATAGCTTCATCAAAGAGCTCATTTTGTACATGCCCTGTGATCATTGTTGTCCATGCAATTGCATCCTTGAAAGGCATGTCGTGAAATAGATGGCAAGCCTGCAACATGAGTCCAACACTGAAGTAACCACTAATGATTGAAGTCCACGTGATCTTGTCACGGGAAGGTGCTGCATCGAATAAAACTCGAGCCTTCTCTAAGTCTCCAACCCTAACATAGCCATTAATCAAGCAATTGCAAGACTGAAGAACACAGTCGTCGGAGAAGTTGTCGAATAAGTATTGTGCAGAGGGCATGGCACCAAATGAAGAGTACATGTAAATAAGGCTCTTAGCTATTCTGCCATCATAATCATCACATTGCATTGCATGAACAAGCATCTGAGCATGAACCTGCCTGCCAAGTTCAGAAAATCTTAAGCCAGCACAGGCATAAGCAAGGGAAATCAAGGTCTCACTGTTTGGTGTTATATCAGAGCTCCTATTCATATACAGGAAAAGCAACAATGCTTATTCATAGAAACCATTCCATGTGAACCCACTAATCATGGATGTACAAGAAATAACATTTTGGACATGGATTCTGTGAAACATATTATATCCCTCAGCCACTTCTCCAACCCTGCAATAACCAGAGACCATACTAGTCCAAGTCAACACATTTGGATCGGGCATTATATCAAACAGGGTCCTCGCCTCATCCATTCGACCACTATCTCTGTAACCTGCAATCATGGTATTCCAAGAAACCACATTTTTAACTGGCGTCTTGCCAAAAACCAACCTTGCCTGCTCCAAATCCCCATTCCGAATCAACCCAACAACCATGGCATTCCATGAAACCACGTTCTTCTCAGGCATATTCACGAACAGCAACTTGGCCTCACCTATTCTTCCAGCATCAGCAACCCTGAAAGCATCGATGTCCAAGAAATAACATTCCTTTCAGACATCTCCCGAAACAGTGCCATCGCCTCCTTCAATCTCCCGCACTGGACATAACCGGACAACATTGCGTTGTAAGTAACAACATTCCTCTCCGCTGGCATGATATCGAACAGCAAACGAGCTTCATCCACGAACCCACTCCTGGAAAACTTGGTAACCAGAGAAGTGCAGTAAACCGTACGGCTGCGGGAGTTTCCCCCTGGGAGCATTTCGTCGAGCAGGTTGCGTGCGTCATATATCCTGTGCTTGGAGAGGCAGCGAAGCAGTTGGTAACCTCTGATTGTGAGAGACGGATACCGGCAAGTGGATAATACAGGTTGAGAGCCGAAGAATCGAAGAAGACTGACATTGACGCCAACAGCAATCGAGATTCTCGAAGCAGCGAATTTCAAGCTTTTCAAACAAAACCCTAGCATGTAGCACCCAGAACAGTTGGAAATTTGTAGAGAACTATTAACAACTATGCGTTTGCAATTTCAGGTTGAAATATCCCCTAATCTCCTGAAAGCGGCCATTGGTTTAGCTGGAGGACAACGATGGCGACGCCAAGGCCCAGCTTCTGAATTCCAGTCTGCCCCACTTTCGTCCTCGTCGCCGCTCGTCATCCACCAACAGTAGCAGAGAATTCAATCAGGAAGCGCCATTGCCAAACCATATTAGAGCTTTACGAGACTAGAATGACTGCAGGGCGCACCGTAGGGTTTTCCCATGCGCCCTTTCAAGCGGGAAAACTTTACCGGCGGGCAAATATGAAAGTGAAACTCCAAAATTCCAAAGAAATAGAAATGAAATACAATAGTTATGGCTAAATTGCAAGTTTGGTCACTGGAATTACTAAAAAATTTCACGTTTGCCACTCAAATTAGTTTATTCCATTCATGGTCACCAAAATTAGTTCAACAGTTCAAGTTTGGTCACTCTCCGTTAGTCTCCGTTAACTTTCGCTGATGTGGCAGTCAACTCTAATAGTTGACCGTTAAATGTGTGACGTGGCAATTAAAAAAATATTAAAAAATAAAATTTAAATTTTTTATAATTTGCACCTCATTATAAAAATAAATTAAATATAAATAAAATTAAAATTATATTTTCCTGTCCCTTTGAGCTCGGCGTCACGGAGCGCCACCGCTTCTCCGATTCCATATTTAGGACTTGTGAAGCTCGAGTCTAACCATGTATAGAGCTTCGGATTAACCAAAGGACATACCTGGCCATGTCGGGCAACATAAGATCTCCTTTAACCTCTCACTCAACTGCAATGTCTATAGTTGAGACAAAATGATTCAAACTTCTCTGCATATAAAGTCATAACAACTCTAACCATGCGAACCAATAAGACAAGCAACACAATCAAGCGTGGATGGCGCAATGTTGAGACCAATCTATTAATGGCCGTTCTCAGTTAATGTCTCCCCATACAACTGTCGTGAGAACGGCACCGGCGACGGGTTCAGGCGGCCGAGGCGGAAGGGGTGCAGCTTGGTCGCCGGCGCCGACAAGAGGAAATTAAAGAATTTTTAGAGTGAAGGATATCGTGGTTTTACCCGCGGATTGAGGTTTTGGCCGCCACCTCCTTCTGCGCGCAGAAGGAATTAAAACCCCCTCAGTTTTGACTCTGTACGAATCGAACGAATCCCACATCAAATTGCCTCCTTCTCCGTCGCATCTCCTACGGCGTGTTCCCCCTTGACTGATCGATACACTTGGGGTTGTATCGATGGGTAACAGCTTTGCAACCAGCTTTCGGTTAGATCCAGCGTCGTCATGAGCGTCGGTCTTGCTTAGGAAACCTAATACACGAGGCGAGCTCTTCTCCTGACTGGAATTTCTAAGGATTTCGCAAGGAGGATCGTCGCAGACGCCGTCCACACCCTCCGGCGGCAGCTCTCGGCTTCTGAGCAAGCGCTAGATGACGACTGGCGAGTCGGGTTTCAATTTCTTCTCCGAACTTTGTTCATACAACTTCGACTCTGTGTTCTCTCTCACTCTAGGTAAGCTTATCGATGGAGGACTCCTGTGAAATTTTAATTTCAATTTTTTAATAGTTTTGAAAATGAGGTGGAAATTATAAAAAGTTTAAATTTTATTTTTTAATATTTTTTTAATTGCCACGTCACACATTTGACGGTCAACTATTAAAGTTGACTGCCACATCAGCAAAAGATAACAGAGACTAACGGAGAGTGACCAAATTTGAACTGTTGAACTAATTTTAGTGACCATGAATGGAATAAACTAATTCGAGTGGCAAACGTGAAACTTTTTAGTAATTCCAGTGACCAAACTTGCAATTTATCCCAATAGTTATATAACCTCGCAAACGAGTATAAATAAAATCTCGAAGAAAGAAAAATGTGTATGAACATTTTAGAAAATGAGATGACTCAACCTTTATGTAGGGGTTGAGTCACCCGCAAACACACCTGCAAATCGTATCTAAAAAATATTTATGTCGTATATAGTCATACTAATGTGAAAATTAAGATATTTCGCCATGTTTTTCTATCATGGTATCCCTAATCTAATGCATTCTTCGACTTAAAGTTTAGACATAAATTGAATATAATTATGATTCACATAATCATTTTTCTTGTATACAATTTTAATAGAATAACATATTATGGATGCATTTGTTTATAACCTTTTTAGCCTATTTCAACAAATATCGTGAAAAAAAACTAGACATATGTTGAAGTAAATCACATTTTATTAAAACTCAAACAACATTTGTGAATTTTGATACCTTTCACCTCGGTTTATTTGTTTGAAATTTTAATTAGTTATAAAATATTTTTATGGTGTATAATAATTATATATTTTATGTTGGGTTGGGTTTTTACTTAAAAATATCGTCAACCCGACCCAACCCAATTAGAAACAAACCGTAGGGTTTAAAAAATTTTGGGTGGGTTTGGGTTTGATAATTCCCAAACCGTAGTGCATGGGTCGGGTGATTAAAATACTTAAACCCGAACCAACCGACCCATGTACACCCCTACCTTTATGCATTAACGAACTTAGCGATTTGAATTCCAATTTAATCAAAGTACAGATAGTAACCAAGAGAATAACAAGGTCGCAAGAAAATTGTACAATTGTGCACTTCACACAAGAGAAACGAACTACCTGAGTACAAAATCCGCAAAGAAGCTTCCTATCAGACACTGTATCAGATTCTCTACAATGTCCCGAATCAATGGAAGAAATCTACAAATCTCTTGCAAGTTACAAACTAAAGATCTGTACAAAGAATTGCTATATACGATACAACCGATACCTTTCTAGGTGCCGATACAGAAATCGACATGCATAATATGACCTCAGGACAACGAAATTTGTTCAGTCCCAGCCATCTGCAAGCAGCAGCCTGCACTTCTGAATACTCCTAAAAGAATGAGTCTGAGCTATGCTAAAAGTTATTTACATGCAAATGACAAGTCCTCAGTGACTCCTCATCTGTGTTTGTGACTTGTAGTGACAAGATTACATAAGGAAGTCACTATGAACTATTTGCGGCCTCTACTCCGGCTCTTCTAGGGTATAACAGATTACATAAGGCAAATTACAAGGGGGTTCGTCATGTACAAATATGGACCTTGCAGCAATAAAAGCTGACTCACAGGGCAAAATACAGAACAAAGATGCTATCAAAAGAGGCCACTTACATGCCAAGGACCAAATTTACACGTTTCGAGAGAGACAATGGTGATTTACATAAAAAAAACGACACCAGGTCGTCATGAGCCAATGACAATTGTGGCTTCTTTCGAAACCTTTGCAAAAACAAACTACTACTAAGGGAGGAATCCAGTGAAGACAGCCATCTAACACATCTTCCTCCAAGCAACCATTACAGTTGAATTCAATCATTGAAAAAATAGGAGTAGTCCACTGCACTCCCTGGATTGATAATAAAAGAAAACCCCCATGTCAATGGACAATCAAAGAAGCTGAATATTCAAGCCACAAGACACGTGCCAAATTGCAAGAAAGAGCACAACTAAAATTCCTGAAAGCTACGCCATTCAACAGATACCTAGCCATTTCCTGACAACGACATCCTGTGGCGATCAATATCACACTTACATGACACAAATCATGCTATCAAAATGAACTGGTTCAGCCACCAAGCGGAAGAAATAACTAACAAACATTGAAATGAATCTGCGATCCAAAAGTAACAGCACACTTCAACCAAACTCATAGGTTTGAAGTAAGAACCATTATGATAGTAGAGCCACATGTAGTTCTAATTCTATAGGTGTTGAATGGTTCGACACAGCCTTTTCTAAACCACCATACACCTCAAGCAGACTGAAAAGAGTAATATAAAATACTCCAAAAACATTCGCCAAGACAAGAACAGGAAATAATCAAGAGTCTAATCTCAGAAACCTCCACTTAGAAAATTTTCAATTAAGAGCCACGCATGCGAGAACATCACATATGATGTACTGCTTTCAGAGAGCAAAAGAGAAAATGCATACAGTTGGGTATGTTTGAATCAATAACAACTAACATGGAAAATGGAAATCACATGAGAGACTTTGCAACTATGTGAAAGAAAAAAAGCAAAAACTAGAACTAACCACACAGGCAAGTATCAACGATTTACCAAACTAAAATACAGAATGAAGAAGCAACAAAGCACAAGCTCAAACTTTTACTTTTTTGCAATAAATAGAAAAACTAAAGGAATTATTTGATTCCCAAATCATGCAAAGCACTGATGGAATGGGTTGGAGTAGATAGGTGTGTGAGCATGCCCTGGACAGAGTTATTGACTTATAGCATGCAAGTAAAAAGAGTAAATCAGTAGCACTTGATGAAGAAAGCTAACGGTCATTCATTCCCACTAAATGGTTAGTGAAACAAGAAACAGGTAGCCAATATGAAGGTAACAGGCTCAGTCTATCTATAATTCTGAACCTTCACTAAACAATTAAAAGAACACAGGATTCCAGAAAAACACGACAAATTTAGATCGAGTTCACGAACCGACAGACAAATTATCCAGAATAAACATAAGTTCAATGAGTTCATCAACAGTGGGATACTCTAATCCAGCCTTACAAGCATAACCATCCGTATGCAAGCAAGAGAAGTTTTTTAGCACACAAATACTAGGATTCATCTAATGATGTTCGGTAAATGCAGTAAGAAAGAAACGAGAGACTTAAGGCACTCTCTCATCCTTATGATAGAACTTACTTCTTCCCCCAAGAGGTCACTTTCTGCAGTTTAGGTCAAAGTAGAAACTGCAAGGGCTGCTGTTCTGGTTCCGCGACCCAAGAGGACAGAAAATAAGTCCACATGTAAAGGCATAGTCAAATTGTATCACTCTGATGGCTGACGTCTCCTCTTTCCATAATCCGTATCACGTGACCTTGACCTGTGATCTTCTTCAGGCACTGCCCGTGACCTGCTCTGATGCCTAGAAGAAGCCTTGTTCCTATCCCAGTCATCATCATAACCTGAGTCGCGTTCTCTCTTTCGGTGATCTCTATAGCCATCCTTTTCCTCCTTGTGACGGGGCTCCCGATGATCCCTTTCAGATCTGTCCCAGTCCTGCTCCCTCTCCTCACGGTGCCCCCTATCAGACGTCCCCGACCAGTCACGACCAGAAGGTCTCTCTTTCTCCCGAGAGGCAGCACTTGAGCGTCCATTCTTTTCATGACTTGCCTCTCCATAACCATAGTCAGAGGCACCATCTTCAGCACCATAACTTGATTCTCTAGTCTTTCTTCCATGCTCTTCTCCCCATCCACCCATGACGGTCTCAGACCACATTCCCATGCCTGGCACTTCCATTCCTGAGGTACCCATCATCCCCATAGCATTAGGAGCCATACCACGACCAAAGAATGCTGGGTTGACATGAGGAGCCACCCCTGCAAGTCCCATCGTGTTGACAGAGGGAAATTGAGGAAGCATGCCTGGAAAGCCAGGAGCTCCTCCAAATCCTCCATAGCCAGCCCCTCTACCCATGTATGTTGGATCAAATCCAGCTCCCATCATTGCCTGTGGAGGCATCATTCCAGCACCAGGACCGCCGAATGCAGGACCACCTAGACTCGGTCCATAGCCTCCCCCATTCATGCCGCCTCCCACACCAACAGCACCTCCCATCATACTCTTAGCACCCATGCCTCCTCTTCCCCTAATTGGTCCTCCAACTCCAGGAGCTTTATTGAGAACACCTGGTGCACCACGGCCCCACCCACCCCTTCCGAAGTTTCTCCCACCATCTCCAACTGGATAATTATTCACTGTGGCACCCCTCCCAGCACCATCATTCATAGGCCTTCTTGCCTGTGCCTGTGCCGGAGGCTGATTCTGGCTTTTGTTCATGTAAGAAGACGCCATTTGCTTTATTGTTTGAGGAGAAGCAAAAGCCACAACGCAAGCTCGGCTATTAAACATAAACCCATTCATTCCCTCTTTGCAAGCAGCTGCAGCAGCTGACTCGTAAAATTCAACTTGGCAATAACCCTTAGATTTACCACTAGCTCTTTCGTCATAGAACTTGATCTCCTTGACTCTTCCGTATTGAGAACAAACATTCTCAAGTTCTGCATCAGTTGTCCACCAATGCAATTCTCCAACAAACAGCATAGTTGCACCATTATCAATAGGAGCCCTGATCTGATTTTCATTGGTGATATTGGCACCCAGATGTATGCTCATTTGATTAGCTGGCATCAGCGGAACACTTGTGAGACTACCTGCTCCAGTACTTGGCATAGGCGATGGCTCAATGGGAACTTTTCTAGTCATACCAGAAGGGTCAACAGCAGTATTTGATGATATTGATGATGCTCCTTGAAATCCCACATTTCGAACTTGAGTATCATTTGGCATCTCCATGGCCTTTCCTTTTAGTGAAACAGATCCATCTGGGTAGCCAGCTGGTCCTTTCTCTGGTCCCTTGACTATGGAAGGACCCTCCTTTGTCTCTTGGAAATGTGTTGTAGAATTAGTGTACTTCCCTTCAGCAGCAACTCCAGGATTGTGAACCCCTTGTGAACCAGCACCACCAGCCGCTTCAACTCTGGAATCAGTAGCACTCTGAGTTGGGAACCCCCCATTGCTCACATTAGCAGTTGGGGCTGGTGGATCAGATCGATGCATTTGTAGGAAATTCTCACCAACATTCACATCATTATAAAGATCATCATACTCATCATCTTCACCCATCTCTTCCTCAGCAAGAGCAGGAATAGTACCACTTCCCTGAAATTGCAACTTCTGAGGCCCTCCGTATTCTTCATCCTCAAAATCAATTCGCTCATCAGCCATGAGGTCCAGACGCTTCTAAAATACAAGAGAACAGAGGCGAAGATTAAAACTTCAGTGACACAATTGTAAAACAACATGAATCCAAAATTCGGAGGAAAAACAGCATCATTCACACATTGGAAGCTCATAATTCACCCAAAACCCATTTCCTTCGGATAGAAATGACCAAATTCCATTTTCCAAATGGCAGAGACGGCATATAAGCTTGTCACTGTGTAAAACCCCATACCAAAGCAAGATAAAGGAGACCAACAGATGGAGATACTTCAACCGGAATCCTACTCTTGTAAGAGCTTAGATTTAAGTTACAGGCTCGAGGAAACTCAATTGAAAATCGATTAATTTCATTACCAAGAGCAATCTTCAAATGGAAAGAAGAGAACCAAGAGAGCGAGTCCCCCAACCACCTAGACTCAGAGCGAGCTCGGAACCGCAGCAGATCGCTGAATTGATTCAAAGCCCACTCCAGCGAGAAGTCCAGAACATTTAACACTGATTCAGACATGAGATTGAAATGAAGCATTAGTATATAGAGTTGTCCCACTGATCGGAAATTCGCCGGCGACAGAGAGAGAGAGAGGATTACCGTTTTGAAAGACGGATGCTAGAAATTAGGTTTTCCAGTTGCAGATTGAAGTTGAGAAATGGAATGACATCCGATTGGTTCCCGCGAGAGTGACGAATGACGATGAGGCGGGCACGCATGGCTTTGTCGTCTGCTGGCGTCTCTACGGACAAAACCGACGGCTCGAGCAGAGATCCGTACAGAAAATTAAAATTGCGAAGAAGAGACCAGAGAAGGACAATTCGGTAAAAGCAGACAAAAATCACACGTGTAAGCTGTTTGTTTATTGTCTTGTAAATGTGGAGTAATTGCCTTTTGGACCCTGTTATTTAGAAATTGGCAAAACTCGTTAGGTTCGTCGACATGTGACAGTGTTAGTGTAAACATCTGTTGTTGATATTTCCGAAAAGGAGGCTTCAGCTATCAAGGTCATAAAGAACCATACTCAAGCAAGCACGCCAACAAAGAATGCCGATATTGTTCAACTTCTCTTTCGTAATGATATAGATTTATGACATAAATGAGTATTTTGAACTCTTAACTACGCGGTGTTATGGTTATTTGCAATCGTATCAAACATTTAACAAGGTCCTTTCACATTTAAGGTCTTCATTATAGTCCCACGACTCCCACATATGTGCAATTACCATTGCACACGAGTTCATCATCCTCTCTCCATCTTCGATTTAGCAAGCCAACAATGCCATTTCGGTACCCGAAATATTGTGAGGATTTGTACTCTTCAATATCGGGAGGATCGATACATCAATCAACACTGGAGCCTGATCGGTGGATGCCCCCCTCCACCCAGGTGTATCAATGTCAATTTCAATGGAGCAAACAAGCACCAACTACCATCGCGCGCAATGGGCAAGCTGCTCGATGATATCGACGTGATCAACCCTGGTGGCAATCGACCAGCAAACAAACCTCTCAAACCCAAAGAACTTGCTTGGTAAACCATGGTCACACCACACATTGCTGAATCCTTGGTGCCATTCATCTGTTGTGAGTACAAACATCTACCCATTACAAACGACATGGGAAAAACTAGAATGTGCTGAACCAGTGAACAAAAGGCTACTACATCCCCTAAGATAGCAAATGGACATGGAAAAAAATGGTGTCCATAGGCCATAGCATACCTGTTCAGTCCCAGGCTCCCCAGCCATCTGCAATGAACAGCATGCACTAGTCTCATTCTCCTAAAACCTAAACTATCCGAAAAAAACCATTTACATGCAAACGGCAAGACTGGAAGCAAAACTTCAGAAACTCTTCCCACGTCTGTGGCTGTGGCTTGTAGTGGTGAACCCAGTACAGTCACCATAGGCCGTCTGTAAGAACAACAATTTTGTTGCCCCAACACTAGCTCTTCTAAGAACAGATTACATAGGAAATTACAAGGGCATTCATCATCTACAAACATGGACCTTGCAGCAATACAAGCTGACGGTCAGGGCAAAAACACAGAGGCGGCCACTTACATGCCAAGGACCCAGTTACACGTTTTGAAACAGACAATGATGATTTACAACAACAAAAACAGACATCAGGTCATTATGAGCTAAAACAAGGCGCTCACATCCCTTCAACATTTCGCAGCTTCAAGCATTCTTGTAGGAGCATCGTACACAAATTTAAACCGAAAAAGGGAGAAAAACAAGGACAATAGAGGCTTCTTTTGCAACCTTGGCAGACCAAAACCATAAAGGGAGGAACCCAGGTGAAGGCAGCTCATCTAACACATCTCCCCCCATGCAACCATTACAGTTGCATTCAATCATTGAAAAAACACGAGGTGTCCATCCTACTCCCTGGATTGATAATAAAAGAAACTCACAAGTCAATAGACAATAAAAGAAGTTGAGTTTTAAAGACAAGCACCAAAAACCCACAACTTCATACCCTAACAGCAAAGTGATCCAACAGTCAACTAACCATTTCCCGATAATGACATCCTACCAGCAACATACTTCCATGACATTACAGACTTGCGTGACACAAAACAAGCTCTCATGTGAAACACTATGATGCAGTTCCAAATTCTACAGACTTGGAATAGCTTAGTACTGTCTAAACCTTCCAGACACCAGTAGAAGACTGGCAAGACTAAGTTAGGATACTCTTGTTTTCTTTTTTTTACAGTTGCTAAGATAACATGCTTCAAAAAAGAAACTATCAGCTAAAACAAGAAAAGTAAGGAAGCAACCAGGGTGTCATGTCTTGGGAACCTCCTTTACGAACTTTCAATTGAAAGCTTTCAATTAGGCTTCACATTCATGGACATCACAAATGGTGCACCACTTTCAAGAGTTTCTAATATTTGGCTCAGCAACTAGTCATATGGAAGTTTGAATTTGCTACTATGTCAACAGAAGAAGAAGAAATAACTCTTAAACAGCCAAGTGAGCAGATAAATCAAATAATTAACATGTTAACGGACACAAAAAGAAGCAACACAAGACAAATCAAAGTTAAACCTCTACCGAGAAGCTAAGGGATTAATTCAATTTCCAAATCCACACGAGGTGCTAATGGACCAAATTGGAGCAGGCACAGATGTTAGCATACCCCAATGAAGCTTTCTTCATTTATAGCAAGCAAACCAAACAAGTACACAGTAAACTTGATGGAGAAAGCTACCCCACTATTCATTTCCACTAAATGGCCAATGAAACGAGAAAGAAGTAGCATTTTGAAGGTTAAAGGCCCTAATCTAGCTTTCCTAATGAACCTTCACCTAACAATTAAACAACAGTAGATAGATGGTCAAAAAGCCATGGCAGTTACACGATCTAATAGCAATTGAAGCTTCACTTAACCAAAACAACCAGACTATCCAATACGAATATAAGTTCAATGAGGTGTTCAACTGTGGGATACTTGAGTGCAGCCCCACGAGCATAGCAATGTAAGTCTCAGACTAAGAGTCACTCTGTTTTCTAACACAAACACTAGGGTTCATCTAATAAAATTCAGTAAAATGCAGAAAGAAAAAGGAGGTACTGAGGCACTCTCTCATCTTTACGAGTAGAACTTACTTCTTTCCTCAAGAGGTCACTTTCTACAGCTTCTGGTCAATATAGATAACTGCAAAGGCTGTTGTGGCGGTTAGCGACCCAAGAGGATAGAAAATGAAGTCCAAATGCAAAGGTGTGTCACTCTGAGGGCAAACGTCTCCTCTTGCCATACTCAGCATCCCGTGACCTTGACCTGTGATCTTCTTCGGGCGCACGTGACCTGCTCTGATGCCTAGAAGAAGACTTGCCCCTGTCCCAGTCATCATCATAACCTGAGTCACGTTCTCTCTTTCGGTGATCTCTATAGCTATCTTTTTCCTCCCTGTGACGTGGCTCCCGATGATCCCTTTCCTGCTCCCTCTCATCACGGTGCCTCCTATCTGATGTCCCCGACCAGTCACGACCAGAAGGTCTCTCTTTCTCCCGAGGGGCAGCACCTGAACGTCCATTCTTTTCATGACTTGCCTCTCCATAACCGTAGTCAGAGGCACCATCTTCAGCACCATAACTTGATTCTCTAGTCTTTCTTCCCTGCTCTTCTCCCCATCCACCCATGCCGGTCTCAGACCACATTCCCATGCCCGGTCCTTCCATTCCTGAGGTACCACCCATCATCCCCATAGCATTAGGAGCCATACCACGACCAAAGAATGCTGGGTTGACATGAGGAGCCACCCCTGCAAGTCCCATTGTGTTAACAGATGGAAATTGAGGAAGCATGCCCGGAAAGCCAGGACCTCCTCCAAATCCTCCATAGCCAGCCCCTCTACCCATGTATGTTGGATCGAATCCAGCTCCCATCATTGCCTGTGGAGGCATCATTCCAGCACCAGGACCACCAAATGCAGGACCACCAAGGCCCGGTCCATAGCCTCCCCCATTCATGCCGCCTCCAACACCAGCACCACCTCCCATCATACTCTTAGCACCCATGCCTCCTCTTCCCCTAATTGGACCTCCAACCCCAGGAGCTTTGTTGAGAACACCTGGTGCACCACGTCCCCACCCACCCCTTCCGAAGTTTCTCCCACCATCTCCAACTGGATAATTATTCATAGCACCGCCCCTTCCAGCACCATCATTCATAGGCCTCCTTGCCTGTGTCTGTGCCTGAGGCTGATTGTCATTCTTGTTCATGTAAGAAGCTGCCATTTGCTTCATTGTTTGTGGAGAAGCAAAGGCCACAACACATGCTCGGCCATTGAACATAAATCCGTTCATTCCCTCTTTGCAAGCAGCAGCAGAGACTGCCTCATAAAATTCAACTTGGCAGTAACCCTTTGACTTACCACTAGCTCTTTCGTCATAGAACTTAATCTCCTTGACTCTTCCATACTGAGAACAAACACTTTCAAGCTCTGCATCAGTTGTCCACCAATGCAATTCTCCAACAAACAGCATAGTTGCACCATTGTCTACAGGAGGCCTGATCTGATTTCCACTTATGATATTGGTATCCATGTTCATGTTCATAGGATTAGCTGGAATCTGTGGAACATTTGTCAGACTACCTGTTCCAGTACTTGGCAAATGTTGCGGTTCAATGGGAACCTTTCTAGCTGTATCAGAAGGATTAACCCCCATATTGGATGATATCGATGCTGCTCCTTGAAATCCCATACTACGAACTTGTGTATCATGTGCCATCTCCAAGACCTTACCTTTATTTGAAGCAGATGAATCCGGGTACCCCGCTGAACCATTTTCTGGTCCCTTGATTATATCGGGAACTTCTTTTTTCTCTTGAAACTGTGCCGGAGGATTGGAGTATTTCCCTTCAGCAACAACTCCAGGTATGTTTACCCCTTGCACACCAACACCCCCGGCTGGTGCCTGGACTCTTGATTCGGGAGCATTAGAAGTTTGGAATGCCCCATTGTTCGTGTTAGCAGGGGGAGCCGGTGGTTCAGATCGATGCATCTGTTGGAAATTCTCACCAACATTCACATCATTATAAAGATCATCATATTCATCGTCATCCCCCATTTCTTCCTCCGCAAGAGCAGGAATGGCACCATTTCCCTGGAAGTGCAACTTTTGAGCCCCTCCATATTCCTCATCCTCAAAATCAATTTGATCATCAGCCATTAGACCCAGACCCTTTACAAAGACAGCAAAACATAAAACAAAATGAGATCTTCCAACTCCTATACATGTAAAGGAAGATTGATAACTGTTGTTGGAACAAAGCAACATCAAAAGAAGAATCTAAACATCTCATTCAATACAAATTTATCAGGTCCTTCATCAATACGAGGCTACATGAGTGCATCACTTCAGAAGTGGCAATTACAGACCAACAAAGCGAGTTAAAGTTAAGACCTTGTCATAACAAAATGTCTCAAAATTATTCGCTAAACATACAAATTCATAAGTTACAAACTTACAGTCTCGGGGAAACCCAATAAACCTCCAACCAATTCCTTTACAATAATTCAATAACCAATCTGACGTTCACTACCTGAAACTCCCCAAATCAGTAGCAACCCTAAATAAAGCACTAGCCGGGTATTAACCCTACATAGCTAAACAAAAAGCTTAGATTCAGTTACATGAAGAACAAATAGACCAGATCCCCAGTTCGGAAGCCTGACGTGTTTCAAAACATCAAATGAATATCTCTCAACTCCACAGCCCGACCAACATACGAAGCTAAAGGTTGAGACTGAGAGAAACCAATAGATTGATACCAAGAGCACTCTTCACAACGGGTAGACAGAGAGGACCAACAGAGCGAGCGAGTCGTCCAATTTCCAACCGCACAGAATCCGAGCTCGAAACCGGAGCAACCGCGGAATCGATTCAAAACCCACTTCAGCGGAAAAGCGCGGAACGACCAAACACTGATTCAAACTATCAGATTTGAAATCGACGCGTTAGAAAGGAGGGTTTTACGTTTACGGTTTACCCCTGTCGGGGAATCGTGAATTCACCACCGCCAGAGAGAGAGAGAGAGAAAGCTTACCAATTTGAAAGAGAGAGGCGAAGAATTAGGTATTCCAGAGTCAGATTCAAGGTGAGAATGGAGTCACGTCGAGTTGGTTCCGGCCAGAGTGACGATGCGGAGGGTCTCGTGCCTTCTCGTGGGTGCTGCCGTTGCACGAAGAAAAGTGCGAGCGCTAAACCTAGACCCGCGCGGAATCACCAAAAGGACGGGCAATTGGGGCAAAGTGAAGGGTTAATGACCCTTTTAGCCTCTTCAACATGATAATTAGGGGTGGGCAAGGGGCTCAAGTTAGGGTGCATAACCATATCTTTTTCGTTTTAATGCACCCATCAATAATCAAATCTGGACCCTTCATTTAGAAAATCCAGATCTAAGGATAGAGAATTAAAGGTCATTTTTATTTTCAATAGTTTTCTGAATTGACTCATATCTTTTTCGTTTTAACTCGGTTTTTTTTTTTTTTTGCACAGATGGAACGAGTTCATCGTGCTCTACAAAATGAGATCAATTTTTAATATTTTTTGAGGAAAAAAAAATTCTAGCCTCTCGGTACGAACTGCATACCATATGGTATCTTCTTCGTTTTTAATTCGTTTTGAAAACGTTTGCACAGCAGGGACGAGTTCATCATGATCTATTGGATCTACAAATTTCTCGGTGAACAAATTACAAGACAAAAAAAAATACCACACAATACCATACAATACCACCCTGGTACGGGGTGGTATCTTATGGTATCTTATGGTATACAATGTTAAAAGTCGTAAATGACAATTAATATACTTCTACTATCATGTATTCAACCATCCTATAGTTTTGGTTTGTGTCATACCACCATGATACGCTTTTCAAACCATAGGTATGCTCTTATTTCAATACCAGTCAATACCATATGGTATAGGCTGGTATAAAATGGCTCAATTTTTTTTTTGTTCGAAAAATATATCAAAGTGAATATCATTTTGAAGAGCACAATTAATCTGATCTAACTGTGCAAAAAAAAAATTAAATTTCGACTTAAAACGAGTGAGAAATCGTCCGTCAAAGATTAAGGAGGGGAAAATTAAAGGCTTTCCAGGAGAGAGAGGATGCTGATGTCATGCTGATGTGGGCGGGTTACTCATAGTTACTCGCCATAAGGTTACTGACCTGATCCATTCCCTGGGCAAGGGAATGGATACCTATCCCGTTTATAACCGGTATCCAATCTCGTTTGGGGACCAAAGTCCATCCCATATTCCAAACCCGTATGGATAAACGGGTACTCATTACCCATACGGGACGGATAACGGGTACCCGTACGGGGGATAACGAGTACCCGTACTACTCATAAATACCCAAACTTTGAACCATTAGAATTTTAACAAAAGTTTAAACTTAACTTGTACTTGCTTAACTATCACGCCTCTTCAACATGCATGATAATTAGGGGTGGGCAACGGGAATGGATATCTGTCCCGTTTAAAACGGGTATCCAATCGCGTTTGGGGACCAAAGTCCATCCCATATTCCAAACCCGTATGAGTAAACGGGTACCCATTACCCGTACGGGACGGATAACGGGTACCCGTAGTACTCATAAATACCCAAACTTTGAACCATTAGAATTTTAACAAAAGTTTAGACTTAACTTGTACTTACTTAACTATCACAAAATCAATCCCAATCACACAATCACAAATACTCGGTAAGCAAACTACACATTCATGAACAATCAAAACGCTAAGAAATAAAGCATTTCATAAGCAATAACAACTAAGAAGGAAGTTGTTGGTTGTTGCTGTTATGCTTCAAATAAGATCCATTCGACACAACCAACTGGGAAGGCATGTTGCTGTTGTTCTGCTTCTGCAAGCTGCTGCTGTTCTGGCTTCTGTAAACAACAACAAACAACAAGCAACCTTCAACTTCAGTGAAGGCAACAAACAACAAACAATCTTCATTCGACACAACAAACTTTGGTAAATTGCATTCTTATGTAACCAGAAACTGCAACCAGCAGAGGAATCCTTAATAAACAACTGGAAGCTTAGCTAATAGTGTGGCATGTGATGATCAAAGTGTATAATTCTCAAATCATGAGCCCAATGTAGTTTAGTGTAGTGGTTGCCTTTGCTTTTAATTATTCCTGAGGGTATTATAATTCTAGACATTGATGTGTCCTTGCTACTTTCTTCACTACCAGTACCCATACGACCATACCATTACTTGCTTGTTCAGTTTGAGGGGCTTCATTCTCTTGACTAGCCATGGAAATTAGAAAACCAAATCAACAGAAGCTAGCTGGTAGGGATGGCGGCTAGAAATAGATAGAGGTTGGAGATTAGAAACCTAACTAGTAACTGGCACAACATATAACATTATAACAAGTTACTCATTACTCATAATCACCACCCGAGGGCTACGACAATTAGAATTGGAGAGGTGAGTTGAGCTTGAGAAGAGTTGTCGGGTGACTGTTGCTGGTTGCTGAGGGCTACGACGATAGTGAGTCGTGACTGCTGGTGTCTGATGCTGGCTGCTAAGGGCTACGGTGACGGTCGCGGTGGTGCTGACTGTTGGCTGCTGGTCGACGGTCGGGGGGAGCTGGAATTGAAAAGTTGCACTTGAATGGAGGCGCATCAATCTAACTAGGAGATATTGAATGGAGGCTCAACAACTTCAGGCGGGGAGTCAGACTGGGTGCGGCGGCGAGGTTTCCCCTTCCTCCACGGCGGTGGTTACTAGCCGCGTGGTGACTGCGCCTCTGTCGGCTGTCGCGAGGAGAGGGAAAGCTCAGAGGCCGAGCTAGGTCACTCGTGGTGGTCTCGTGCAGTCGTGCTCATCTGTTGACAAGGGTCAATTGGTCAAGGGAAGGGAAAGGGCCGAAATGGCCAAATGGGTTCTCAACTTCTGGTTGGGTTGGGCTTCAAAAACGACAATTGGAGATTCGGAGTTGGAGACGGCCAGACGGGCTTTCTGTTTCTGCCTACTGTCTGTGTATTTTGAATGGGTACAACGGGTACCCATATTACCCAAACGGGTATTTGCGGGTAACCCGTGGGTACCAATATTAGGAATGTACAATCCCAAGTCCCATCCGGTAATACTATTACGGATAATATGGGTACCCGTAATCCTCAAAAAAGGGACGGGTACGGGTATACCCAAATACCTGTTGCCCACCCCTAATGATAATGATGATATCTATAATCTACAAGTCTACAAGTATATAGATAGCTGAATATTTTTTCTGCACCCCCATTCAAATTTTCCTACAGTGAGAGTGAAAGTAGGAAGAGTATTTTTGTCTTCACAATGATCTATTTGTTTCTCATTTATTCTTAAAAAAAACTTATATTAGGATTTGAACCGTGGTCATTTTCAACTATAATAAGAATCTTAACCAATCATACTACATAGATCAGTTGTATCATTTTAAATAAAAAACATACATGAAGCTAAAATTAAAAAATCACATAACTTTTCAACGGTTAGCTAAGGTCGCTAAATCTTCGCTCAGTACTTATTGGTGTTTTGATACTTTGATTTTCATATTTAATTATTTTAATTATACTTTAATACTTAATTTAAATTTCTATTTATCTTATAAATAGACTATAACTTTAAAATCATAGACCAAATATCATTGGTCCAATATTACATATCGAATTGCAATATCGAATGCGTAGAAGCGATATTGAACTCCTGCATTTGTATTAGTTTAGAGAACTACTATGAGGCAATCATATTCATATCTTTCTGCAAACTATATGGGGACGGGTTCTTTGAACCTTTTTAGCTCGGTTAACCATTAAGTTTTAAACATCTTCCTAATCCGACAGCATGATGGATCCAACAATCATTAGAAGAGGTTGAGTTTAATAGATTGGTTTATTTCATCTTTTTATGTATTAAAATGAATTTGTAGAGCAAGGACATGTCTACATATACACTCTACATAGTATATACTATTGACACGATAAAATTGTCGTCTCATTTCAAATTTCCTACAACGAGAGCAAAAGTATTAATGACATTTTTGTCTTCGCCATTATTTATCTTTATTTTGTATAGAAAATAGACAAGTATTGAGATTTGAACTAATGTATTTTCAAACACAGACAAAAGTCATAACCATGATTTTCAATTCGAGTATGACTCTGTTGGTCGAACCAATTCTATCTAAACCTGAGTATCTCAGCGGGTGTCGAAAGCCCAGTTGGTTGTCTACTTAGACTGTGTCAAAGTCGAGTTTGTCTATCTTATTGGGAAATCCAACCGATTTAACCAACTGAATCGAACACCAGCCACTTCAAAATGATGTTGTTTTCATCAATTCGTATACGTAGCTACACTGTCATATCATCCTTTTACTTATCACAGAACCCTACAACATGAAACATCATAGACCATGTTCGACTATCCCATCGTCTCTTCTTCTTACTTTAGATTTGAGAGCCTACAATACACGACCCAACCATCTCAAAATCTATCATAATCCAGCAATAGCAAATTTCATTTTTCTCCAGCTGCACAATCATAGAGCCAGTCGACCTCATCTCATATAAATACGAAGCAAAAATTATTAAGAAACATGCATTTGAGTTGAAACTTTAGGTGACTAACAAAGGCCAAATTCCTTATTTTAATTATTATTTAATACTTAATTAAATTGATATATATCTTTTAAATAGAGGATACCTTTAAAATTGCGGCCCAAATATCATTAGTTCGAATATTCCATATCAAATTGCAGTGTTGAATATGTAAAAGTGATGTATAATTCTTAAATTAGTATTAATTTTTAGACCTACTATTACACAATCGTATTCATATCTTTGTGTAAACTATATGGGACTGATTCTTTGAATATTTTAGTTCGGCTAACAGGCAAATTTAAACATTTTTTTATTTTGACATGATTGGATCCAACAATTATTAGGAGTTTAATAAGTTGGTTCATTCCACATTTTTTCAATGTGCTAAAGAATTTGTAGGGAAAAGACATGTCTTTATATACACTCTACACAATATATAATACTAAAATGAGAAAATTGTTGTCTCATTTCAAATTTCCTACAACGAAAATGAAAGTAGGAATTATATTTTTGCTTCATAATTATTTTACAGAAACTACAAACTTTCAAAATCCAGAAATTGTTGCTCAAACTAAAAATCAGAGCATCGAAAATCAATGTTTGCAAATTTTATTTCATATATCACTTATTTGAGAGATTTTTCTCTCTATGAACAAAGTAAAATGAAACAAGTTATAGCCAAATCAACAGCTTTGGCTCGAAGACGATGACCTGCTTCTTCGTGGGAGAAAGAAATACATGTGGTACCGTCAGATATCTGTTGCAGCAGCTAAGAACTGGAACATGTTTCAGTTAGATATTAGTAATGCTTTCCTAAATGGAGAACTTGAAGAAGAAGTGTACATGGAACTTCCACCTAGAATTTCTAAACCTGGTTATGTCTGCAAGTTGAGAAAATCACTCTATGGTTTGAAGCAAGCATCTCGCCAATGGTTTGCTAAGCTCACTTCTGTCCTACTCAACTTTGGTTATGTGCAGCCTGCTAATGATTACTCCATGTTTACACATCAGTCTACTTCTGGCATTTCTGTCCTACTGGTGTATGTAGATGACATCATCATTGTTGGAGATGATACCTCTAGCATGATGGCTTTGAAGTAGGGGTGGGCAAACGATTCGGTAAATCCGAACCGAAACCGAATTAAACCAAACCGAAATAATGTTATTCGGTTCGGAATTTGAAGGAAAATATGAATATTTCGGAAATCAGGGTTCTTTCAAGTTTCAACCGAACCGAAATTCCGAAATTTCGACTGAAATACTATAATTGCAACCTCCAAATGGTGGATTTTTATGTTTGTAGTTGTTTTTAGACTTAAATATTTGAAATGTTTTATGACTTATGTGTTGAAGAGTTTAATTTTATATTGATGATGCATATAATTGCATATTAATCATTTATATTAATTGTTTATATCTAGATTTCTCTCGATTCCAGGCGGTGGGAAGAAAGAGGAAGAGAATGGAGAGAGTGGTGAGATTCAAGCTCAGAGGGTAAGGAAGAGGAAGGCAAAGAGAGAGTGAGAACACATTTACAAGAGGGGAAAAATTATGTAGTGTGATATAATTGCCTTTCTCCTTTGCTTAGAGGGTACTGTTAGCCCTCTTCTATTGAGTTTTGATTTATTTTAGGGGATGACATTATATTTGACATGTTTTTTTCCATTTCAATAAAAAATCCTAAATCAATAATATCATTTGAATGCTCTCTGATGGAAAAAAAACTTAAAGGACATATTAAACTCTATGAGAGATATTTTCTTTCATGCTAAAGGCGGATTATGTATGTATTATGAGAAGAAATTCTAATATTTAACTATATGGTTTAATTAAATAATGAATGACAATTAGTTATATTTATTTCTTTTTTCATTAAGTAATTATAGGTAACGCTTATATCATTTCCCCCCATCTTTTCACGTAGGTCTAAACACTTTATGCATAGTTGGATCATTTTCAAAGATGTTATGTATATAAATAAGGTACAAAATAATCATTTCATGCATTTTAAATCATGTATTATATCCATTATTGTATACCATATTACTCGACAAATTTTTCCCGGCCAACAGGCCGAGCCCTGTGCTAGTTTACTTTGAGTCTAAATTAGACCTATTATATTGGCTAAAAAAAAATGAATATCAACTCTAATGTAATTTTTGAATTTTTTTTTATATAACAAACATAAATGTGGAAACACCGATAATGAAGGTGTGAATTGGTTTAATGCGAATAACTTGATGGTCGATATTTCTTTATAGATATAATTATATGGACTCAAATATATTCAAATTACTATGTTCGACCCAAATAAACGTTTTCTAACTTTCTCCCCCATTTCATAATTAATAATTTAAAATAATCCGGCCTAACAGACCGGGTTAAAGCTAGTTATAAATAGACAGCTCTACAAATTCTCAACTTTAAATTGCCTTCGTCCATTCGCAAAACAACTAGAAAGAAGCCAAAAAAAGGCAACTGAATCATAATCTCAGATTCGTTCTTCGTTAATTTTGATTGCAGAGTTTTGCGAAGGGGGTGGTAATTTGGCGTTTCGGAAGAAAAGAGCTTCTGTGTTTCCCCATATTGATTTGTGAGTTCCGATCTTTGTTACTCATCTGTTTATTTGTTCCTCAATGTAGCGTAGGGCTTTTTCTTACCCTGTTGAGGTGGCTTAATTCTTGAACTTGTTGCTCGTATAAATCTGGGTTTTGGTTTTCTTGGCGCAGTTTTTTCTGGGTTTTCATTAGAAAACGTAAAATTGGGGGGTTTTTAGGTTCCTCTGGGCATGTATGGATCAACTGTGCTTTTGTTCTGTTCAGCGTTTAGCTTCCTGGTTTTAGGGTTGATGGTGCAAGTACTCTATGATAGGTAGACTAGCTAAAAAATTTCGTGTTTCTGCCAGGATATGAGATAAGAATGTTCGAATGTTTCTCTTATATCTTCTCAAATCTGATAAATGGATTAAAATAAAATGTTCGCACACATTTTAGTGTTTCTTTCTGGTTGTCATCTTGTTGGAAAGTTATATTTGGGGTTCAAATTTCTATTGAATTTTGGGTTTCTTAGCAATTTGAGTAACCAGGTCTCGTGTTGTTATACTTTGGCGGTGATTGAACTATCTTTCCATTGTTGGTGCAGCCAGTATTGAATGATCAATGGAGTCGAAAGGTGGCAAGAAGAAGTCTAGCAGTAGTAGTAAATCCTTGTTCTACGAAGCTCCCCTCGGTTACAGCATTGAAGACGTTCGCCCAAACGGTGGAATCAAGAAATTCAGATCTGCTGCTTACTCCAACGTATATTCCTCTGCCCACCCCTTATTTTTGTCATGGAAACAACAATGTTTTCTTTCTTCCGGCGTTCATGATTTTAACTTGTCTTTTATGTGTTTTTTCTACATGCAGTGCGCTCGCAAGCCATCCTGAGTCCTGCTAATAGCTTGCTGGTTCATTTAGATTATTGATATTATAAGTAGGTTTAAATATCAGTTTCATTCAAATTCTTCCTCTCTTCCTCGCTCGCTCTGCGACCGTGATCAAACTGTGAGCTTTCTGGGAATTCGCTAGAACCTCTTGGTGTTGTTTGCTCGACTGTCATCTGTTGGTCTATCTTCTGGTGTTGTGACATTTGCTGTCGAGTGTCACGATGGCAGTCTCTGCAATTGGATTTGAAGGGTATGAAAAGAGGCTAGAAATCGCCTTCTTTGAGCCGGGTATCTTTGTTGACCCGGAAGGGAAGGGTCTCCGATCTCTGTCAAAGGCTCAGTTGGATCAGATTCTTGGACCGGCTCAGTGCACCATTGTCGACTCACTTGCAAATGCTGATGTGGACTCCTATGTCCTCTCCGAGTCCAGCCTATTTGTGTTCGCGTACAAGATCGTCATCAAAACTTGTGGGACAACAAAGCTGCTTCTATCTATACCACCTATCCTGAAATTGGCTGAAACCCTTTCTCTTAAGGTGAAGTCAGTGAGGTACACACGTGGCACGTTTATCTGTCCTTCAGCACAGCTATATCCTCATCGTAGCTTCTCTGAGGAAGTCTCTGTACTCGATGGATATTTTGGGAAGCTCGGTTCTTAAGGCAGCAAGGCCTATATCATGGGTGGATGGGATAGCCAGCAGCAGTGGCATGTTTACTCTGCTAATGCAGATGCTGCTGTGGTTGATGAACCAATTTACACCGTGGAGATGTGCATGACTGGTCTTGACAGAGAAAAGGCTGCAGTGTTCTTCAAAACCCGGTCTCCTACTGGGGCTGTGATGACTGTCGATTCTGGGATAAGGAAGATCCTACCAAACTCTGAAATATGTGATTTTGATTTTGACCCTTGTGGCTATTCCATGAATGCTATCGAAGGCGGTGCTGTTTCCACCATTCACGTGACCCCAGAAGACGGATTCAGCTATGCAAGCTTTGAAATGGTGGGATACAACCTGAAAGAAGTGGGTCTGAAGCAGGTGGTGGATAGGGTGCTGGCTTGCTTCAAGCCAAGCGAGTTCTCCGTAGCTGTGCATGCTACAAATGTGGCTGGGACGAAACTGGAGAAGGAATGTGCCCTGGATGTGAAGGGATACTGTCGCGGAGAGAGGAGCCATGAGGAGCTCGGAATTGGAGGTTCTGTTGTCTATCAGAAGTTTGATGCTGCTTCTTCTGAGGATACTGGGTCTCCTAGATCAACTCTGAAGTGCTGCTTTGAAGAGGAAGACGAGGAAGTTTGAAGATCTATTTCTTCATGGCTTGTATGTTGATTTTCTTTGAATACAAACTCTGTGTTGTCTTGGAACCGTGTGAATAGATGGCTATTGTATGACATTGAAGTGTGTGTCTCTGAGTCTGTTGGTCGGATGTGGTTTTTTGTGTTTTCTTTTCCAGTCATTGGTATATGAATATTTGGGAATTTGTAATAAAGTGAGGTTACTACTTACACCTCATGGATATTTCTTAGCGTTATGAAAGTGAAATTTGTGTTTTTGTATACCCTAAGGTGCTTTAGATTTGTGATGAATGGCATGAACTTGCTGTAACAACAGCCGATGATGATTGAAGCTGAAAGGAATAATTGCAGGGGGACTAAGGTTTGGGTGAGTTGTTGAAGTGTTTCTTTCTTGTCTCGTGCATCTTCTGAAGCAAAAGCGTATGAAACTCTAGAAGCTAACATGTAGCAAATTGACTGTCGGCTGTGTATGTCGGCCCCGATCCTCTTGTACTTGATGTTTACAGTTACAGTAGAGGCAAATATCATTTCTTCTTTCTTTCTTTGAAGCATTGTGATGGAAACATTTTATTTTATGATTATTATTAATTTTCGGTTATTATTCAGATTATTATGTTGGTCCAGTATTTGGGAGGAAGTATTAGGATTAAGTTATTATTTCGGGGAGTAAAGGGGATAATTGTCGATTAGTATAAGTTCCGGTGTACGTGAGGTTTATGGGTAAGCTTAATAATAATATTGAACCCTAATTCTCCCTCTTCTTCCTTTCTCCTAGCCAAGTTCCCTCTCTCCCTCTACAAGTCTTCGGCCGACCCCTCTTCCTCTCTCTATCTATTCGAAACCCTAATCCCCCAGATCAATCCCTAATTGATCTAATCTCATTCCCAAATTCCCCGCGATATCCGCACCCTAGATCCTGAGGTCTATCAACTGGCATCAGAGCCTGGCTGGGTGCAGAGATCCCTAGAGCATGACTACCACACGCGCACATGAGGATAAGGCTGGCGGCGACAAGACCGCAGCGGCGTCGTCGGTCACGGCGGCAAAGGCGGCGCAGGGTAAGGAGAAGGCTGCCATGCAGCAGCTGCGCGACGGAGACTGGGTTGAGGAGCTTGACTGGGCGGAGGTTCGGGAGAAGATGTTCAAGGTCTCCCGGATGCAAGGGAACCCCGCAGACGGACTGCACGAGGTCAACCGGTCCATTCGCCAGGTCTCGGAGAGCGAGCGATCAGCTGCAGACAAGGCTAACGCCAACGCTGACCGGATGGTGCTACTGATCGAGTAGGTGTTGACGCAAATGTCCGGGGGTCTATTCCCCGGCGGAGGCGCGTCGAATGGCCAGAGAGAGGAGCTGTCGCTCGAGGTTGAGCCGAAGGAGGCCGAGACGGAGGCGACCCCGGGCACAGCCGCGCAGGAGACGACACAGGAAGGGGAGTCAGCGGCGGCTGCCTGCGCACCTCGATCGGCCGAGACGGCGTCCCGCACGACGACTGTGGCGCGGGAGTCGAGGCAGATAGACGGGCTGCTGCCGACGCCTTCTAAGCAGGAGGTCGCGGCGGCTCGAAAGGGAAGTCGAAGATGGCTGGGTATGACAACGTTGTTCACAACGTGACGTTTGATCTGGTCGAGATGCGACACGAGGTGGACGAAGAGCGCAGTTTGATGGGACAGGGCAGGATTAGTGCATGGGTCGATAGACGCGGAATGGGAGACCGGTCGGGCCAGTTGGGGCGAGCGGGGTCGGAATGGCTGGGCCCCACCACCTATTCAGGCCGAGCTGATTCTGGGCCTGTTACGAACCGAACCGAGCCGATTTCGGGTTTGGGGATGGGCAAGGTGGGGGTGACAAGGCAAATGGGTGGTTGGTGAAGGACGGATCGAGAGGCGATTATCCAGGAGGTGGGTATCCTTCCTACGGGACAGCGCGGAGGGAGGAAGGGCCCATGGGGAGGCAGTTGGAGCTCGAACAGAGTCGCGAAGGAAAGGAGATGGCTAGGTAAGACGAGTATGGTGGCACCTGGGGTTCGGAGTGGGAGCAAAAACGACAGCACTACCGTGCACCGACCCTGGGGATCAGCAGGTATGGTGGGTTTGGCTCGAACTATGAAGGTGAGATCGACCTAGTATTTCGAGCTAAGCCTCCGACCATTGAATTTCCCAAGTTCAATGGCCAGGAGGATGCGGGGTTATGGTTGTATACAGCTGACAGGTGGGGCTGTGCATGGCGGGGTTGCGTCCAAAATTAGCTGCAGCGGTAAGAGTTTTTGGGCCCGACTCATTGAGGTCTGCTTTCCGTTTGGCAGGGTCAAGGAAAAGGAGATTGAGAGCTAGCGGAGCGTGGTGGGAAGATTTCCCAAGTCGAGCGGGGTTGGTGGGACGGTTGTGGCAGCAGGAGGTGGAGGAGGAAGTGTCGTGGTCGGTGCTGTCACTTCTGGGGCGGCAGGACCTGGAACTAATCGTGCGGGAATTCGAGCGCCACAGAAGGGGTTTGTTCGTCTAACTCCCGCAGATATTGAGTAGAAGAGGAGGGAAGGGAAGTTCTTTAACTGCAATGAGAAGTTGTCTTTGGGCACCAGTGCACGAAGTCGGACTTGATGATGCTTTTGGGACGTTGGGAGGATGAAGTGGAGGAAGAAGAAGGCGCGAGAATGAAGGTGAAGCAGGACGACGAGGATCGACCTTGAGGGCAAGGTTGTGCTTCAAGAGGAAGGGGATGATGAAAATATTTTATGATTATTATTAATTGTCGGTTTATTGTCGGTTATTATTCGGATTATTATGTTGGTCCAGTATTTGGGAGAGAGTATTAGGATTAGGTTATTATTTCGGGGAGTTAAGGGGATAATTTTCGATTAGTATAAGTAGTTAAGTGTCGGTGTAACTGAGGTTTATGGGTAAGCTTAATAATAATATTGAACCCTAATCCTCTCTCTTCTTCCTTTCCCCTAGCCGAGTTCCCTCTCTCCCTCTACAAGGCTTCGGCTGACCCCTCTTCCTCTCTCTATCTATCTATTCAAACCCTAATCCCCCATATCAATCCCTAATTGATCTAATCTCATTCCCAAATTCCCCGCGATATCTGCACTCTAGATCCTGAGTTCTATCACATTGGATTAAAGTTGTCCTACTTTTATTATCAGAGGATAGTCCTTTTGGACCACATTTTTTGGGAAATGTTTTCTGTTTTCTTACCCGTTAATATAATGGCAAAGTCAATACACAATACTAAATGGACTGGACTAAGTAACTACTTATGCAGTCGCTACTTGTCTAACTGCATTCATTCGTGTGTCTAATTGTATTCATGTCTTACAAAATTGCTTTTGTAATGGGAGGAATAGCCTTCGTATTTGCTTTTATATTGGATGGTCTATTAATAGCGTATTAAATAAGGCTATTGTGTAGATAAACGGTTCTTGATCGACATAATCACATGATTAATTGGTTAAGCCAGCAGTAGGGCTAGGGCCGCAGAATTGCTCTCTAGCTGAGTCTCAATAAATCGATGTTAGAGTATCTTGATGACAACGAAAGTGGCTGTAGTTTAGTGGTTAGAATTCTACGTTGTGGCCGTAGAGACCTGGGCTCGAATCCCAGCAGCCACACTTTTTTTTCTCAATTTTTTTTCTCAATCCGTTTTGATGATGTGGGAAAGAAAACTCCCTTTTTCCCATCTTAGTGGGATATCCAAGTTAGGGATGGGAAAATGATTCTCCAAACCCAGATCAAATCAAGTTTGCATAATATCACTTGTGGTTCATATTCTTTTCAACCATTTAGTTTGCGTCAAAATTAAACCCATTACATTGGCTACCGAAAAGAAAATAATACATAATTATAATGTGATTTTTGTATTTTTCTTGATTTTAAAACAAACATAAATGTGAAAATACCAACATTGGAGGTGTGAATCGGTTTAAGACAAATAGTTAGATGATCGATATTGTTTTTCGTATTTATAATTACCTAGACCGAAATAGACCTATTTGGGTTCGATCCGAATGAATTGATCCAAACCCATACCCAACCCAAAATTATTAAGAATGAGTCCATTTGGATCTAACCCAATACCATATAGATAATTTCAATTGGGTTCAATTACCTAGTGGATTTACATTTACCCATTGTCATTCCTAATCCAAGCTAAGTGTTGTCTATGCATATAATGGCAATTGGCATGGAAATGGGAGAGCCACTAAAAAAGTTCTAAATGCTTATTATTCCCTCCTCCTTTCTCAAAGATATGCTTAGCTTCCAAATTGCTACCGTACCATGAATACACATGCATGAACCTAGCTTAGGCCAAGTCCAATGCTAGCCCCCAAATTTGGGGATCTTCATCCCTAAATTTGGAGATTCTTCCCATTTTGCTCCAATGCTACCATCTCCAAATTTGGGGATTTTTCATTTTTTCTAGTAGTTCTTTACCTAAAAATGTACTTATGATCATCTTAATCAAATTTATTCATGTTAATTTTAATATAGATCATCATTATTTTTAAATACAAATTTTCCGATAGAATTTTTATAAATTTCGACACAGAATTATTTTTTATCATTAAAGCACTAATTAAACTCTTAACCATTAATTAAAAAAAAAAAAAAGAAATTGTGGCGGGCACAACCGCCAGCCCGGGTGGTGTGCCGCACGCGCGCGGGAGAGCAGCTCTTCCGCAGGCGTGCGGCACACCGCCCGGGCTGGCGGTTGTACCCGCCACCACCCCTCCCGATCGCCAAAAATGCAGGGATCGGCATTCCCTTCGCCAAATATAGAGACCCAAATGGCGATTTTCGCCATTAATGACGATTTGGGCTTAAATGGCGACTCCATTGGAGTCAGCCTTAGCTCTTTTGTCGACCACTAGAGAAAAAGGAGTGGGTACAAATTTAAGGAAAGGAATAGAATACAAAGCAAAAGCACTAGCTAGCATCTCAAAAACACCGATCGTGAAAGTTATAACAAAAACACAACAGCTAACATACAAAAGACAGTCGTTCTCTATCTATGCACTGAAATTCATTCCTGTAGAATTCCCCCAGCAACAAAGTGAGTACACAATGAATAGTACTCACTCAAGTTGTCTTCTCTCCAGATGTTCTTGTTGGGCTTCGTATTAGTTATATGTGTGGACTGATTAGCAGAGGACAGATTTGAGCCATAATCTCCTTTTTCTAAAGAGGCTAAGATCCTACTTTAAGTACAATAATCTTGATATGAACAATTTATTTCATTCTTTTAAGAAAGTGGGTGCCCATATTACTTAGCTTTTTTGTGAATAATTCGTTTTTTTGGCTTTTTGCAGCTGATTGAACTTCGATTTCGGTAACCTCCAATTGAAGGCAAATAAAAGATAAAGAATATTTAGAAACAAAATATTGGTATGGCATTGACGATGGTTTAGTACAAAATTCGCAAACCAGTAATGCGATATGAACGATAAAATGTTTGAGATTTCTTATCCGTAGAGTAAATCTTACAAATCTCATCCACTGTGAGGTTAAAGTGGGCTGGGAATTCAGACCAAACCGTATGGGAAACCGCGGTCTAGACCGTATCGTATGGTTTGGTCTGGACCGTGAGACCAGAACTATGGTCTGGTCTGGTTTGCGGTCTCCTCCTTTAGTGCATGGTCTGAAGTGGTCTGGACCGCGGTCTACCGCAGTAAACCGTAACAGACCGCGACACCCTACCTACTACCTTGGACAAAAATAACACTAAATTGAACCTCTGTATGTGTATTTGAAGAACAAAGTTAGTTGATTCTTCATCTAGTTGAGAGCCAACAAATTGCAAAATGATCGCTTATATGTTATCTCCTTATCAAAGTACCACACAAAAATCAGAAAGACTCATAAATAATATTCACAGATAATGTCTACAAAAAAATTCGTTCACCTTGATGAGATAAGGAAAATTATTGAGAGATATGCGACCATCCTAGTGATTCGAAATTACCTCGACGTCATCAAAAAGGTTATCAACTGGGAGAACCTTCGGATCACTCGAGAGAGGAGAGAAGCGGTAGCACAAAGAGGAATAGGGAAATAAGGCTATTTGAAAATTGAAAAAACCCACTTCTATCCTCATATTTCTTCTCATTTAATACGATCACAATTTTTTTGTTTCACTAGCATATTGGTCACTAGATTTTTTTATAGATACCGGCGAAGGGTTGGAGGGCGAACAAGAGTTAATTTATTTTAACGTGGTCTGTCTGGTCCAGACCGTACCGGACCGCACCGCACAGGTGTGGTCTGGTCTGGACCGTATAGTATATGGTCTGGTCCATGGTCTGTGTTCGAACCTCTTGGTCTGGACCACAGACCGTATCTATGGTCTGGTCTGGACCGGACCGCACCGTTTCCCACCCGTTAAACCATACAAATAACTGTGTGCCGACTTCTCTGGAAGAAGGAGATAGACAATTTGTTCCTTCAGGTCTTGGTTGTATGCAGTGGCGGATCCAGAAATTTTAAATAGGGGTGTCCTCTCTAAAAAAAATTAAATTAAATAATTATTAAATATGAAAATATCTTACTAGTAAAAGGTTCAAACGTGTTTCGTAATAAAATGGTAAAATAGTAAAAATACATTCGTGTCTATACTGCTCAACAAATATCTCTCGACATATCTTACTAGACAAGGGTATCCAGTAATTGGGTTTAATCGTTAGGTTTTGAAAACAATTTGTGATTAAGAATAACATTTTACTATTATATTTAGATCGAAAACATAATAACAAATGAGTTGCAGTGTAATTGAAAATATATTTACTAATAGTGGCATTGCCCCAAGTTTAAATCACATAGACTACTACTTAAATATTATTTGTATTGATACGCAAACCACTACCGGAGGTTGGAGTATCATTTCCCCAAATTTTAAGGGTGTTCCAATACCACTTAAACATATTTTTTTCTCATATGCAAATTACTATCGGAGGTTGAATAATCGTGCTTCCAAAGACACCGTTAAACATGCATTTTGCATGCATATTGC